ATGAATGTATTTATGAAACGAGTCATTGAAATTTACATTATATTGATATAATGTTGTTGTTACTATAACTATTATTATAGCTATTGTCAGAACGTTGTTGATTGATGGATTACATGTTGTTTGTAAAGAAAATATGGAGGTACTGATGGATAGCAAGTACTTGAGAAAAAACGTTACGGAGATCTCGACATCTGAAGGATAATCAATGGTTTATCCATGATTTTTACACTAGTGTTATTCATCTTCTATTTTTCTTTCTAATGTAAGCCATTATTAGTTGTGTATAATGGATAGTAGTCATCGTGGAAGGCTTTGATGAGAGCCAATAAGTTTCTCTCATTTTATTCGTTCGGTCTCTCTTCTCTTTGGCCTTTATTTTTTATCCTCTTTTCTGATACTCAATCCATCAATCGGCGTCAAGAGAGAATAACGGTCTTGGAGATTCGAAAGCACATCCGTAAAAGGACGTCATTGCATGGTCGCTCGAGATTCAATAGATGATCAATGAATAATGTTGATGATAGGATGATGTTGTGACATCGACAAGAATAGTTATTGTCTTTTTTTACTATTCATAGTTGGCTACATAATAACTAACAAATAATTGAACAATTTATCTATCTCAGTAGAATGATTAATCGATTTATTCAATTTGAAAGCCAATCGTTTTTTTTAGACATTAGACAAATCTATGTTCTATCGCGTAAATAAACAGACAACGTAAGATTTTGATCTCGTCAGAGACATAGTGTCAAGTAAAAATATTTACGAATATATTTCTATCGCTATTTTCTGTTAGTAGTCTAAATGTCACTTGATATTCTAACGCTTGGTATTCTGTGTTTTTTCTGCCTACTCCTACATTCTCTTTCATTCTGAATCGCTCACAGATGGTTGAATGAGAAATCATTCTGACGCTGTTGCTGTTAGTGAACTCGGCTGGATCTCTCTGCATGTGTACGTATATATATATATATGTCATGTTTGCTTCGATTTAATGAGATCTTTTTTTTGTTACATCTTTTCGGGGTCCTATTCTCGCCTGTCTGTCTGTCTTTCTATATCTCCCACTCTCTTCCCTGATTTCCTCTAGTTAACAATGTTGCTGCATTTTCTTTTCTCATGTTATTGTCTGTGATGTGTGTAGGGGAGTCGTGATCATTGTTAGTAAAGAGATAAGTTCGATGATAGACTTGCAAGTGTGAAAACGTATTATCGATCAAGCGTATGTATAATAGATACAAGCAAACGAAGGCGTCCAAATCTTGACTTATTTTGCATTATATCAAAGCGATGGTGGATTGTGACATTCATAATAGAGATGTATTTTGTGTATGTATGCGCGTGTATGTTACTATTCTTCTATGCTTTTCTAGATGTTGTTGCTGTTTCTTGCAGTTCGTTTTTTTTCTCTGTGTAGCTAGTGTAGTGTGCTTAGTAGCTTTCACGCGTGCTTACATGTGTATATAGAAAGAAAATGATGACAGCAATGATGATGATGATGATGATGATGATGATATTCTCCTGAGTAAAACTTAAAGAGAACAAATACAAGCATACAACATTAAGATGGTGGTAATGCTTGCATTTTTTGTCGATCAACTTTCAGTCTGTATATACACATGCATGCATGCATTTGCACATCGTTATCGAACTTCTCGGGTGGAAACAAACCGGAAGTAGACAACCTTGCAGGCAGATCAGCAAGTTGCAATAGCGTTCTTTTATATTTGAGTGTCCAACAAAAAGAAAACGAGACATAATGCAGGAAAACTCAACAAAAAGAGAAATCGAGAGAGTAAGAAAGAAAGAATGAGAGAACATAACAATTAATTTCCCTTTTTTTCTTTGAGTGAATGAACGACCAAGCGACACCCAACGATAGAGAAATTATAAGAGAGAAGAGAAAGCGAAGAAAAAGAAATATAAGAAGAAAAACGCACGAAAGCACAGGATGAAGGTTTTGAAGTAGTCTCAATAAATAGCAGCAGTGCAATAAGAAGGAAAATACGTCTGTTGTGAGTATAACCTTGTATAGAAAACATCACATCATCATCTTTCTAAAAGACGTCACTAAAAGGTAAGGCGAACTTCCTCGTTGTTTACTTTCGCTAAAGTAGAGAAAGAAGAAAAAAAAATCTTTCTATATTACTAAGGAAATTGGCCATTGTATCATTGTAATGTATTGGCATAGTGCATTTGGTTTTGACAAATCAAAAGCTAATTTTATTTCGGACACGAATACGAACTAGTAGTTCTTATTTATTAGTCAAAAGAAAGGGAAATCCGTCATTTTAATAAGGTTATCGCATTACATTCCTTTTTAGTCAGCGATGTTTTAGTCGTTATCGTTTTTTTGTTGATTATTTAATAGTAGAAAAAAAAAACGTGTCGTTTTCAACGAGAGACTACGAGAGACTATCAAAAATAACATTGTTGTCATCATTCTCTTTATCACTCTTGCTCTAAAACAGCTTTCTCCATTTTCATTTCTATGTTCCCTAATGAATGCTGACAGAGAGTGAATCGGAGTCGATGATCGGATCAGACACACGCGTGACTTCTAATTGTATTAAGTAAGATCTTTACAACAAACAACATAAGCATGCATTGCATACATATATATGTATGCACAGATTCCACTATGCAAACTAATTCTGTTGTTTGTATTTAAATTATGTAAATAACAAAAGAAAGATGACAGGCAATAGAATATACATTATCTATATATATAAAGGTAAAATCTGCCAAAGATAACAGTAGTGATGCGTAGTTTTCTTATTCTTCTATAAAAAAAATTATATCTAAGAATACCGCCCACTCTCAGCATACGCATCCTGAAATTATCATCCATTCGTTAGAAATTGTCATCAGGCTGGTTTACATTCATTTTGTCGTCATCGTCGTCATCATCATCATCGCTAGTTGATGACAGTGTCAAATTAATCATTGCTCTACCTCAGTTGATGTCGTCCCTTGCTCTTGCCGTCTTGCCTCTTTGCTTCGATGAAAATCATCTGCGAAGAGAGTGAAAGAAGAAAACGAGAGAGCGAGAGAAACTAAATTTGGCTTTTTGCCTTCTTTGCACTGCGCTTGTGCCTTCTAATTAGCAGCTAACAAAACTAACTCTTCCTCTGCACGTTGTTTGTTGTTGCTGTTGTTGTTGTTATTATTATTATTATTTTTGTTGTATTACTCATAATGCGAACTTTATCGTGCCAAGAGCTACCATCCATTCTCGTCTCTTGTCATCTCAATACTATGTAAACACTGAATGACAGCAGTTCTCCCTGTTTTGTAATGCATGCTAATATGAAAAAAATGAAATCCTTTTTTTTTTTTTGTATGTTTGTGTTCTGATGTTAACAACGATAGACACAGAAAGCGAGAGAACTTCCATATAGTAATGCATTAATATTATCCTCCATCATCAATTCTGATCGATAAGAAAACAAGAAAAGAAATCAAACTGAAATCAATACACTATTCTTTTTTTTTGTATTAAATACACGCTTGCATTACTGCCGTTAGTCGTTGAAGTCATTTTCATCATTTTTCATTCGAATCATACTTATGATTTCTTTTGTATTTTACGAGCAAATCTACTATATATACCGATTACCCATTTGATCATGCTGTTTTTTACCCGTACGATTTAGTTAATGTTGATCTTGCCTGATTTTAATGAGACGTCATGTACGTTGTTGTTGTATCAGCAGCTTTCTTTCACTCGCTTTCTTCTCTGACCTTATCGATTTTGCTTTTTAATTGAAGGGGAAAAAAACAGAAAAAAAAAACGGAAAGATTGCAGAAATTGAAGGAGTAACCAGATCAGACAAAGTGAATAATGGAAAATGAGGATATCCGAGAAGCTTCTAGACCAATGGAATAAGATCAATAGTCATTTTTTAACTAATTTTTTTTTTGAAAATCTATTTCTATTTAAATATATTTCTATTTCCTACGTTGACTATGACTTTTAAGAGACTTATTTTAACAAAGTGGAAGAAAAAAACAAAACCCCATTGTTTCTTTTTTCTTTATTATTTTCTTTTCTCGATCGTCGACATTATTATTGAGCAAACGTATATTTTTAAAAAATCTACAACAAGTTTAAGAAAGAATACATGTATTTGCATGCTTATACGCATGTGCTTGCTCACAAGAGAAAATGATGTTGAATCAAAATAGAAAATAAAATATTTTTCAAATCCAGAGAGAGAGAGGTACTAGTCTATATTTATATATATATATATCTATGTTCTTATCTGCATCTTCCGTTACTATCATTTACAACACATTCAATGTGAAAAGTTACTCGTTGTCGACGAAGACAATGAGGACAATGAACTATAAGATTTCCCAAGGGATTTCCATATTCTTACTCAACGATATTTTCTTATAAGCACATACAACTATAAGACAGTGTTAGTAGAAACACAAAAAGATTGACGTTCATTTATAAACTGAAGTATACTTTCTATTCTTGTTCTTTTTTTTAGATTGATAAAATATTTAAGTATCAAAAAAAAAAAAATCAAAAATAACAAGAACTAGGATGGTAATGGAATATGTAGAAAATTTTACCTCCTAGCTATTTTCTGTCGACTCGATGTAAGTTATAACAAGGTTATAGATTTTTTTTTCTATCGTCTTATTAACAACATGTTTTCTTTGGTCTATATTCACACATACATGTATAAATATACATGTCATCTTTTGTAATTTGATGGAATATGATGTTAGTATTATACTTCTATATTAAAGTTATTTGAAATAAATGAGATCTTGAGCAATTAATGACAATACACATATACGAATTTCGTTTTTTTATGACATAGAACACATCAATAATGTTTATTATACTTTTTTTTTTCTAATGCATATATATGTATATTTTATATATATATATATATGTAGATGCCCATCGGTGTCGACTTCTGTTACCACTACCATCACCTATTCCATTCAGATGATGCAGCAAGAATTTGTGCTCGATCATGGATAAAACTCATTTGACAACCACCAATAATATAAATCATACCATCAATAATACAAATAATCTTTATTGTTCATCATCATCAACAATAGTTCCATTACCAAATGATGATAGACATATACATGAAACGGATCGGTTTTTAAATGAACATGCATCGTCAAATATTATATCTGATTTGCCACGTTCACGTAATCTTGAAGAAACAGATGAAAATGATTTACCATTTCCAGGTTTTGTTGATCGAGTTTTTTATTGCCTTAGACAAACATCACCCTTACGTTATCAATGTTTACAACTAATAACATGGCCATGGTTTGAACGTATAAGTATGTTTGTCATTCTACTTAATTGTGTAACACTTGGTATGTATCAACCATGCGCACATCAGAGCGGTGTACCAGTAGCAAAAAAATGCGATACTGTACGTTGTTTATGGTTACAAGCAACAGATTATTTTATTTTTGGATTTTTTACTATTGAAATGTGTATTAAAATGACAGCTATGGGAATATTTGGTAAAGGTACATATTTAGCTGAAACATGGAATCGACTTGATTGTTTTATTGTTATTGCTGGGTAGGTTTTTCTTAAGGAGAAAAAGAAATTCTTTTTAATATTTTATATAGATTAATTGAATCGTTAATACCAGGCGATAATTTAAGTTTATCAGCTATACGTACAATTCGAGTTCTTCGTCCATTACGTGCCATTAATCGTGTACCATCCATGCGTATATTAGTTATGCTTTTACTTGATACATTACCAATGCTTGGAAATGTTTTACTTCTTTGTTTTTTTGTCTTCTTTATATTTGGTATTGTTGGTGTACAATTATGGAAAGGTTTATTACGTAATCGTTGTTTTTTACAATTAAATATAACAAGTATACCTGATCATCCATTATTCAAGTATGTTAATTCATATAAAAATGAAGTCAACAAAAGAAAATGAATGAATGTTTATTTTTTCTTAGTGATCTTCCTTTACGACCTTTTTATATTCCATCTGATCACAATTCATTTGTTTGTTCAAATCCACAATCAAGTGGAATGACAAAATGTTCTGAAATTCCTACATTACGAAAAGGAAATATGACATGTGAACTTGATTTTTATACATCATATGCAGAAATAATAATTGATCTTAAGAAAACAGTAAATGGTTGTATTAATTGGAATCAATATTATCAATTTTGTAATGTTTCTGATAAAAATCCATTTTCAGGTTCAATTAGCTTTGATAATATTGGTTTAGCATGGGTTGTTATTTTTCAAGTAATAAGAAATCTTTAGGTTTTTTTGTTTTTGAAAATTTATTCGTTCTTTAGATCATTAGTCTTGAAAGTTGGGTTACTATCATGTATTATATACAAGATGCTCATTCATTTTGGGATTGGATTTATTTTGTTTTTCTTATTATAATTGGTTCATTCTTTATGATTAATTTATGTCTTGTTGTTATAGCAACACAATTTAGTGAAACTAAAAAACGTGAAACTGAACGAATGTTAGCTGAACGAAGACGTTTTTCACGTTCATCAAGTACATTAGTTAGTGATGAACCAGGTTCATGTTGGGAAGAAGCAATTAAATATATTGAACGTTTATGGCATCATGGACATCGACGTTTAATTGTATTATGGAAGCATTATAAAAAAAAACGCACGAAAGTAAGACCAAAAAAAAAAAAAGAAAAGTTATCTTAAGAATCGATTGATCGATCATTTCTTTGAATGTTTTATTTCTTTTTTTTTAAAAAGCTTAATGAAAAACGTTTATCCGAAGTAAAAAAACATCGTCGAAAAACATCAACAACAATAAATAATAAAAATTCTTCTTCAATACAAATTCAAATTCATTCAACAGCAAATTCATCTCCATTATCTAATCTTAATATAATTCATCGACCTAATTGTCCACTTTATCAACCAACACATCCATCAACACCACCATCAATAAATCCATATTTAATTAATGCGCCAGCAGCTAGTCCTGAAGTATCCGATATAATTGATTCAACAAATGCACCAACTCCAACTAATGAACCTAAAATAATTCTACATTCGCCATTTGTTAATAGTTCAACTACATCGACTTTATCACCCATATTATCAAGAAATCGTCGAAAAAAATCAACTGATATTGTTGAACTTATTTGTCCCGATATAAATATAATTTCTTCAGCGAATAATATGGTAGAAAATTTATTAGATGAGACAATTAATAAAAAACCAAATACTCAATTTTGTGAATGTCAACAACAAGATAATCTCAATGGAGAAAATAATAATAATGATAATGATAATGATAATGATGATGATAATAATAATGATGATGATGATGATGACAATGATATTAATCAAGAAAAAAAAGAAAAAAAACGTTCAAAAATAAATATATTATTTCATCAATATTGTTTAACTTATCTAACAAAAATTCGTCAAACAATATCACGTTTTGTTGTCAGTAAATATTTTCGTCGTATTGTTTTATCAGCTATTGTTGTTAATACATTATCAATGGGTATTGAATATCATGGACAACCACCATCTTTAACAAATGCATTAGAATATAGTAATTTAGTATTTACATCATTATTTGCTATTGAAATGATTTTAAAAATAATTGCTGAAGGTTGTTTAAAATATATTAAAAATTCATATAATATATTTGATGGTGTCATTGTTATTATGAGTGTTATTGAATTGCAAGGAAATCAAAATAGTGGTTTATCTGTTTTACGTACATTTCGTTTATTACGTGTATTAAAACTTGTTCGATTTATGCCAACCTTAAGACGACAATTAGTAAGAAAATTTTTTCAATTAATTGTTCTGTGTTTTTTTATTCGTTGAACTAGAAATGAATTAGAAAACGCATACACACAGCTTTGGAAATAGATAAAATGGATTAGCTTAATTTCGACTTTGCTTCATTGAAGCAGAAAAAAAAACCAGTAATGTTAGTAGTTAGTCACCACCCTTGGGAATGAGTTCTTTAGCACTTCTGTCTGCTTTTTGTTGTTTTATAATATGAAAGCATAGTTAATAATGATTTTTGCTTTTCTTTTCGCATATTGCAAAAAAAAGAGCAACGGTTAGTTTTTTAATGTTTCAAAATGGAAAGTAAATGAACAGCAAAATTAGAGAAAGATAATTAATAACAAAACCAAATCTGTCAATGAAAATAACATTGACTCAAATTTATGCAAGAATTGATTTGATTACGAAACTCATCGATACCGAATATGTTAGATACAAATATGGAAAATTTCTTGCTTTTCTTTTTATTATACTAAAAGTTGGGTCAACCCAACGTATTCTATTAACATTGACCTAATTCTTTATATGTCTAAATATACATTTAATAAGGGATAGAATTTTAGCCTGAGTAAGAAATACGAAAAGAGGGATTTCGTTATACTAACTTCTCACAGCATTTTTCTAATTGACACAGCTTCCGTATACTGATTCTCATGATTAACACGACTATACACCCGTAGGTGACGGTTAGAGCGAGAGTTATCTATATTTTTTAGAAATTTTAGAGGCTCTAAATTCGGCAGAAAGTCTGAAAATTCTCGCAGAAAAGTGCTTTTATCTTCGGACTGCTAGAAGTGATGATCGGAGGCTGAATCAAATTTTTTTCATCTAGTTTGGATAAGACTTTTGCTTGTTTACAATAGACATGATGCTAATTATTTATATTCATCTTTATTTATATTTGATAACTATTCTATACAGTGAAAAATGAAAAGAAGAATATGTATAATTAAACAAAGATTTAATTGAAGTTTTATTTTGACACAATTTATCAAAAATATTTTCCATACTTATATAGTTGTTGAGCGATGATCTTATGAATACTAATAATAGCCAAATTACTAAGTCTGTTACCACTTGTTCTATTACTTAAATAAGTGTTAATTAATTTTATGACAGAAAATGAACGTTCGATAGTATCTGTCGACACCGATATTTGACATTTGAATTTGAATTAGAATTAGAATAACAAGTGATGCATTTGGTTGCTTGAATGACGGAATCTTTATGATATTCATATTTTGTTATGATTCGACAAATAATCAACAATATCTTTCAATTTATCTTAATTGTCTATTAAAAATAGACCCACATACTGATTTCTTCCTTTCCTTGAAAATAGAACATAATATCAACAATAAACGTCTTGATCTATTTTTGAAAATGCCAGCCAAAAATATTTGACTCGTCATGAGTGTTGACAGATTGATTGAATTTTTCCATTTTGTTCAACTTTTTCGTTAAGAGTCGATATAATAATGAAAAATCTTTCTTAGCCAGTTGATTTGAAATATATAGTCCCAATATCATCATCCTTGACAGGTGCATTAACTAATGACGATAGAATTTTGATTAATAGATAATGAAGAAATAGCCGCTGGAACTTTTTTGTTATTATCGGTTTCGATCTCGTTGTTGTTATTGATATTATCTGTTGTTGATTGTTGTGAGACATGGTTATCTATATCATCCTTAGATCACTACTTGTTAGATACGAAATATGTACCAATATCTTTCTGCTTTTTTTTAATTCATTATTTTTATTAAATTTTTGCTAAAAAAAACATTTTGTTGACACTCGCATATGTAAATCATAGTGTAAAAGAAAATAATTGTGATTATATGCATTATAGATATATTTGACATTAATTATAAGAAACAAAATGTCGACACAAACACAAACATAAAAAATTGATAGTACAAAATTTCCTTGAGAGAGGCCCGTCCAATTCTATTCACATCGCAACGATATTCTTTGATTATTTTTATTTCGCTTACTCCCAAAGAAAGGCAAATGGTGTTTCAAAATCAAAGTTATCACGAAGCTGTAAAAAATTAGCAGAAAGTCGGATATTTGGGGGGGGGGAGAGGGGAAAGCTCATATCTCCCTAATTGAGAACTCTGGCTAGGGCTGTATCTAATCTGAGCGGATACGTTTCCAACATTTGCTGAAAGTCTACGACAAAATTCATCTTATCATTTTGTTAAGTCAAACAATTATTTCAAAAGATTATATTTATTGATTTTTCGTTTTAAAATTTAGGTTGTCATGCTTAAAACAATGGATAATGTCGCAACATTTTTTTCTCTATTGATACTATTTATTTTTATTTTCAGGTAAGTGCCAAGTACTGCATATATTTATTTTATACCCGTATTAACTATTAAAAATCTGAGAATATGTAGAAAATAAAATTATTAATATTTATAAGAACAAAAACAAAAAAAAAGCAATTATTATTTTCATTTTAATTTAATTAAATATAAACATTTACATATTCTTCGATTTCTAATAGATATAATCTATATCTAAAAATAACGAACAAAAATTTTTTCGTTCAGTATTTTGGGTATGAATCTTTTTGGTTGCAAATTTTGCAAATACATCGAAGTAGAACCCAATAAACGTCTTGAATTCGAGTGTGCACGAGAAAACTTCGACTCTCTTTTATGGGCAACTTTAACTGTATTTCAAGTAATTAAAAAACGCACATACACATCATGTTTCACTATATAAAAAAAAATTCTCTATGCATACATGTTATTTATGGGGTTTGCCTTTCTATGTTGTTATTGATGTCTATATAGAAGAAAGAAAAAGCACCCTTCACAAAGATAAATATACACATATACATGCAGAAGGAAAAGATAACCTCCAGCTGTTTTTATAAATATGATGCCTACGCTTTTAGTGTTTTTTGTTTTTTTTTCAATTGCACAAAATAATTCTATTTTGTTTTGTTGTGTTTTTGTTTTCTTCTTTTCGATAATTAATATATAGTATTCTTGGTATGCATTTATTTGGTGGTGAATTTTGTACATTGCAAGCATTCAATTCAACATCACATGAACAATTTGACATGAAATGTCGTTGTTGTGCGTGTATTGAAATGGATATGTTAAAAAAGCATACTGATCTCAAAGATTTAATTTGTATACAAAAGAGAGAAAATTTTGACTCATTACGTTTTGCATTATTAACCGTTTTTCAGGTATCAATTGTATGATACAACATTGCATATTAAATTAAATCCAGCCTATTTAGCTACCTATTATTTTCTTCTTAGCTTTATATACTATATATTTATAAATATATATATATATATCATTATTTTGCTTTTCTTCTTGTTTCGCATTAAAATTTCATTCAGCTTTATATGTTTTTTTATTGTTGATGGCTTATGTAATATTTTGTCTTATTTTTTGTGTATGTTATTTAAATATTTTCAAATAGGTGTTGACACAAGAAGATTGGAATGAAGTACTTTATAATGGAATGGAAAAAACTAGTGCTTGGGCAGCTTTATATTTCATTGCATTGATGACATTTGGAAATTATGTTCTATTTAATTTACTTGTTGCTATTCTTGTTGAAGGATTTTCAACAGAGGTAAAGATGACTTTGATTGTTTATTTTTGATTGGAATTTTTTGTTTTTTTTTATTTTTGAATTTTTTTTTTTAGAAAGGAGGGAATATGTCAGAAAGTGGCGGTAGTAGTGATCGATTAGCCAAAGCAGATCCATTTAAAGTAAGATTTTGATTTTTCTTTCTTTTCTATAAGAAATAGAACGATACTATAGATTAGTAGAACACCATGATGAATAAGGAAAGACAAACTATAAGAGAATACAGTGACGGATTTAGGATTCTAGTAAATGGAAGTGATTATAATCACAAAACATGTTTTCAAATCAAATTAAAAATCGTATCGACTAATTTTTCGGTGTTCTTTGCTGAAAAGAATTTAAAAGAAAAACAGTTTGAAAGCAAGACACAATCACTTCCAGTGCCTTCCCTTTAAATCCGCCACTGAGAGAATATCATCTTATTCAAATTTAAGTTATGCTAAGCGTCTTATTTTATAACAATTAGATTGTATTTGTCTTAAGTTAATGATTTATTGCTTGATGATAATATCAAAACTATATAATATAAGACTTTACCTTTAGATATTGCTCATCTAATAGAGTCTTCTCTTTTTTAGCTATGACATTTAGAATTGTATCGAAAAAATTTTAAAATCAAAATCAGTATGGAAGACTTTACTAATAAAGAAACGTTTCCCACTGTCCAATCGCTTTTCGCTTGTGAATATTGCCATTCGATTGATCATGATGAGCAGTAAAAAATTCTGTTTTGATTTGATTTTCCGGTCTTCGCTATTCGAGTTATAGGAGTTTTACTCAATTTTTGCTCTATGAACGTAGAGTTGCTGAGAACTGGGATGATCGAATTTCGACCTGAAGTTTTGTCCATAGATAGACCATATAGTCATCAAAAACATCTCAAAGTTTCAGCTAGGACAAACGTATGTAGATCAGCTTATCGTAGAAACATCCTTCTTTTGAAACACAGCCTCCCCCCCCCCCCCCAAAGAAAAGCGTTTCTTTATAATGTAAATGTTTTATTAAGAATGCATTCATTCTGGCTGAAACTTTATAACGTTTCTAGTGACCATAAAGTCTATCTAAGGCTAATATTTCAGTTTGAATTCCGATCATTCAGTTTCTCAGTGATTCTATGCTCATAGGACAGAAATCGAGTAAAACGTCTATAACTCTACAAGTGAAGAACAGAAAACGAAACTAAAACAGACTTGTTTACCACTTATCATGCCTGATCGAACGGTAATTGTCTCAAACGAACAGCAATTAGTCAGTTAGAAATATTTCCTCGTCAGTTGTTTGTGATATTAAGCCAAGACTAATCAATTTATATCTATTCAAAAGTTATTTTTAGAATTTCATACATTACTTATTTACTACATTAGGATAGAAACCATGACTGAATCATGCAAAAAAGCAATATGAAATCTCTATCAAAAAAAAAAAAAGATCTTACTATCTTGGCTGAATAAAATGTTGCATTGAATGAGAATTAACAACAAACATTTCTATAGTATAAAGTTAATATTTGAAATAACTTCCGTTCCTGTTCTTCTTTTTTTTTAAATCTGACACTTTTCATTAACTACAATCGTTTCTTTCTTTCTCAGATTTGAAATATAATACAAAATACTTGTTTTATTATCATTTAGACACAAGCACTTTTCACAGGTGATGTTGAAGTACCAGCAAATCCACATGAATTAATTACGGATGATATAACAAGTGTAAAAAATAGTACAACTGAAAATAAAAATCTTCGAGCAAAAGGTTAAAAATTTATTTTATCTATTTAAAAAAAAAAAGAAAAATTTTTCTTCTTGTTATATAGAAGTAAAAATAATGAGTATTCCAAAAATTGCTATAAGTAATGAATTTGATTCAAGTTTAAAAATATTTGAAACACATCCACAACAAATAAATACAACACCAACACCACCAACACCATATAAATCTATAATAAAAAATCGTTCATCACAACCACAAACACCATCATCAACATCAACAACACAAAGTTATTATACATGTCCAACACGTTTTGATTCAAATTTTTCAAATGATCCTATGCGTAAATCATTTATAAAAAATAAAACATCCGATCCAAATTCAATAAAAAAACAAACTATTGATGAAAATGATACTGAATATGATATTTCAGGCTTCTCAAATTTAGAAGATATATCAAAAATGCAAACATCTAGAAATGAACAACAAATTCCTCGTCGACGTGGTACAATATCAACAGCATCAGTATTACATTCAAATAATAATTTAAATGAAAATGTACCTAAAAAACAATATAGTTTACGTAAAAATCATTCATTTACATATGTTACTAATGAGAATATTTCAACATCAACTTTTAATAAATCATCACGAAATTCTTTTATTCCACATATAACAGAACCTCCACCACCATTACCATATGCAGAAAAAAATGCACGAAATTCTTTAACACAAATAAGTCATGGACAACGACAAAAAAAATCTCTACCTGTACGACGAACAAATTCTTATCGTCCATCATCATCATCATCAACAACAGTATTAAGACGTTTTATTCTACGTGATGGAAAATTAATTGAACAAGATATAAATAATTCCCAACCAATTATAAAACGACGATCAACATTTGATAATTCTTTATATCCAATGACACAAATTGAAACATCAAATACATATGAAACAGTACAACTGGAAGATAATGAACAACATATTAAAACTAATTCAAATAATTCCATTCGATTAGTTATAGATAATAATTTAAATACACAATCCATTGTGAATGATCAAAGTGATATGCAATTAGATATTGAAAGAAAAACAAAAAAGCCACAACTTGGAGTAAGTCAACAATTCAAATAATATCTAATTATGCATAAAAAATCCAATAACTTCGAGTTTCATTAGTCTCGGACTTTGACTTAAGAGATTAGGAAAGAAAAAACTTTTTCCTCCAATCTAATTCATAATCAACTTTTTTAAGCTAATCTACAGAAATTTGAAAACATTGGGTTAGAATCAGAATTTTGCGTTGTTTCCAAATATTAATTCAAAGTTTTTGTAGGACCTCTGGTCGAGAAGTTTTGAGCCGATCTTTTAGAGGTTCGTAAATTAAGGTTGAACGATTTTTAGCATGTCAAAAATTATTCAAAGTTAAAATGAACATTATTTCAAATATATTGAATAAACGAGCAAATATTGCTCAATAAAATGGTATATTAATGATCAGTTAGCTCTAAGTTATTTGTTAACAGAGAGTGTTTTAGTAAGAGATTTAGGCAATCTTCTTGATTTCTATATAAGACAGATTTGCGAAGTGAGCACGAGCATTCCTGAATGATTGTTCTGAAACTCTTGATCCGTATATCTCTTTGTAGAGAACGATCTCGAATTTAATTTTATGCAAAAAAAATTAGTAACAGAGACTATAGCAGCAAAAAACGTCAATTTTTTCCGTCGAAACTTAATTTTCGAGCTCCTAAAGTAAAAGTCCTACAAAAATTCCGAACGTATATTTTGTAAGAGCACAAAATTTTGACTCTATTCCAACGATTTTAATTTTCTATTGACTCCTATTTTGTTCAGAAACTTTTGCATCACTTATTACTAGCAAAAATTACAAATTCATTTTATATTTACTAGTCTTTCTGTAAATCTATCAAAAGCTCTGCTTCAATAAAAAGAACAAATATTTCATGAAAAGGATATATTCTAACGAGTTGAAGAGTTTGATAAACTCTGTTTTTTTTGAACTATTTGAATAATAAGTAACAAAAACGTTCTCGGATTCGATGTATATTTTTTTTGAATTATTTTGGAATAAATATTTGAAACGCTTCATTTAGATTTTTCGAGCATGTTTAATTCGTTTATGTGGTGAACGTTGTTTTCGTTATTTAAAAAAACGTGATCATTATTCACTGTATCTTTTCTCACCAGAAAATCGGTAAAAATTTTTCTTTAAATTTCTTTCTATTTTTCTAAATAAAAACAAATTTTATATTATAGATTACGTAGAGCATTAAAATATTTAATTGCACAAAAAACATTTGATTATTCCATTCTATTTTTTATATCTCTCAATTGTATAACACTTGCTATGGAACGTCCATCAATACCACCAATAAGTTTTGTATGTTTTTTCATAAATTCAAAACAAAAAAATAAAATAAAATGAAAAAAAAAAATTCTTTTCTTTTTCTCTTAGGAACGTGAATTTTTGAATATGACAAATTATATTTTCACAGCTATATTTACTATTGAAATGGTAATCAAAATAATTGCAGGTGGACTTATATGTGGATCACATACATATTTACATACTGGTTGGAATGTTATGGATGGATTTCTTGTTATTATATCTGTTATTGATCTTGCAACAATGTCTCGTGGAGGTAGTGCAATAACACCTATTAATGCTGATTCTGATGCAACAACACGGATATTTAGCATGTTAAGAGTTTTTCGATTATTAAGAACATTAAGACCGTTAAGGGGTAAGAAAAAGATTTATATTAATTTTAATTAAAAAAAAAATTATATTATGTTATTTATAGTCATTAGTCGAGCACCTGGTCTAAAACTTGTTGTTCAAACATTACTTTCATCATTACGACCAATTGGTCATATTGTTGTTATTTGTTGTACATTTTTTATTATATTCGGTATTCTTGGTGTTCAGGTAAATGAATTATGAATTATTTTCTCTTTGAATTAAGTGAGAATTCAAACTTTGACTATATTCATTCATAGAATAATCATCTCTTGTTTTTTTTTTCGTTATGTACTTTCATGTTGAGCAATAAGTTGAATTAATGAAATAGTCAAAAGATTATTCAGCATATTCTTTACGAGAAAAAAATTGTTCAAATTCGAACTAAAGATTAAAATTAATTGTTTTATGATTTCAAACGAATTATCTTGTAAATTATATGAAGCATAAAATAATCCAAGAGAGATGACCCAAAAAAGTATGTATTAGTCGTCGACTGAATACATACAAAAAACATGAGTATGAAAGCATCTTTTAGATGTGATATGAATAAATTCTAGAATAGTTTTCTCTAGACTAGACCAGATTAACTGACGAGAGAAATTCTCCAACTATTAAATCGTTTTTGAGACAAGATTGCGTGTATTATGTAGACCCACGTTTGGATCTACATAAAGCACGTAGTCTCGACTCAAAAGCGATTTATCAGTTGGAAAACTTCGTTCGTGAGACTATGAGCAGAATCGGTGGAAAAAAAATTGCCGAAATCGGACCATTACCAACAAAACTTGGTCCCACAAATCTCTAGTCATAAATAGGATTTGATGATTAGATTACATCAAGGTTATCATCATTTATACGAAAACGAGTTTCTTACATATTGTTGATTGTTCATTCTTGAACTTTGTACTTACTAAGAACTGATTGAGATTTGAATCACGTTTTGTGGATTTCTCATTGTGTTGAAAATTTCAAAAGTCTAGATCGATTACACTGTTTCCTCAATTTTAGCGATTATCTTACTCTTCTTTTTTTTTTCTTTTACGAAATCATATAATTTATAATATTCTTTTTCTTTTTGTGTTTTGAATAGCTATTCAAAGGAAAATTTTATTATTGTGCCGGTGAATTTGCTCGTAATGTAACAACAAAACGACAATGTGTAGAAATGCCTGATCATCAATGGAAAAATCAACAATTTAATTTTGATAATTTAGGTCAAGTATGTATTTTAATTTAGTAAATATCTTTTACAAAAAAAAAAAATTTTCTTTTTTTCTTTTTGTCTTGTTTTAGGCATTACTTGCATTATTTGTTTTAGCATCACGTGATGGTTGGATACAAATAATGTATAATGGTATTGATGCTGTTGATGTTGATATGCAACCAATAAGAAATTATAATGAACCTAAATTAATATATTTTATATCATTTTTATTACTTGTTGGCTTTTTTGTTTTAAATATGTTTGTTGGTGTTGTTGTTGAAAATTTTCATAAATGTCGTGCTGAACAAGAACGTGAAGAAAAAGCACGACGTACAGCTAAAAGAGCAAGAAAAATTGAACGAAAACGACGTCGTATGCATGAAATACCATATTATGCACATTTTTCACCATGGAGAAGACGTTTGCATGATATATGTAATAGTAAATATTTTGATTTAATTATTGCTGCTGTTATTGGTCTTAATGTTGTTACGATGTCATTAGAATTTTATTTAATGCCACCGGTAAGAAATAAACCTATAAAATGAAATTTTATTGTTATTTTGTCTTTTTTATTTTTTTTGTTCAAATAGATTTTTGATTTAGCTCTTGATTATTGTAATTACGTATTTACAGGTGTATTTATAATTGAATCAATATCGAAAATTATTGCACTTGGACCATTACGTTATTTTAAAGACAAGTAAGAAAAAAAAGCAACAACAGGATTTTTGTTTTCTAATTCAATAATTTATTATTTAATATTAAGATGGAATCAAATCGATACAACGATTGTTGTTTTATCCATTGCTGGTATTGTTATGGAGAAAATGAAAAGTGGACAAGTACTTCCAATTAATCCAACACTTATTCGTGTTATGAGAGTACTAAGAATTGCTCGAGGTACAGTTCAAGTCTATTAAATCAATATAATATCTATACTATCAATGAGAAATATTCTTAGAGTTAAACTTGTTAAAAGCTATCTATATCTCGGCACACACAGTACTGTTGACTGTTATAAATTGCTTGGCTTTCATGAGTTGCTTTGATGTAGCACAGCGTTCTTGTGCAATCACGAAACTAAAATTGAGCAAGCCATGAATCAGTAGGAAAAAAATCTATTCGAGTTAATGTCATTTTACATGATCTAATGGAGACCACAACTTTTTGTTGAAAAGTTCGGTAAAGTTTCGATATTTCAACAATGAAGACTCGAAAAATCAAACCACTCTCTAGACTTTTTTAGTACTCATCAAATGAACATCATCTCGGTTGAAAAGTAGTTTGACACCTGAAGCAGTGGCGGATTTAGGGGGGGCGCTTGGGGCGATCGCCCCCATTCGAAACAAAAATTTTTGGATTTTCCCAGCAGAAAAGTCTTAAAAATAGAGTGCATTCTACTACTAATAAACTTCAAAACTTGCTTTTTGATCAAAATCGCCCCGTGTCTATCGAATCGCCCCTTATCAAAAAAATTCTAGATCCGCCGCTGACCTGAAGAAGTTCCCTCGTTAACTATGATAGATCTACACACAGTGAGATAAATGATCTAAAAAGCGAAGGCCTGCTGACATCCTACAAAAAGTTTAACAATGTCCAGAAATACTCAAACTTAATCGAACCTTGGGATGCTTTCATAAGGATTGAAACTATGAGCCAGAGTTCGGATTCGATGCATGTCTATTGCTAACACAGTTCTTACTATACGAATTTTGAAGTATTTGATTTCAATCAAACAAAGAGAAGACAAGTTTTGTGCATCAAAATAATTGTAACAAATTGAAATCTGCATATTCTTTCGAACAAGAACTTTCATATTTCATAGAGTATTAAAGATATTGATATAATCTGTTTTTTTTAGAATAAAATCATTTCAATATTGTTTTAGAGTTTTACATTACTAACATATTTTGGTTGTTTTTATTTTAGTTCTTAAATTATTAAAAATGGCAACAGGTATTCGAGCCTTATTAGATACTGTAATTCAAGCTCTTCCACAAGTGGGAAATTTGGTAAATTAAAAATATTTCGAGTTTTACAATTTATCTTAAAAATTTTTCTTTATTTAGGGTCTTTTATTCTTCCTTCTTTTCTTCATATTTGCTGCATTGGGTGTTGAATTATTTGGAAAATTAGAATGTGATGATGACCATCCATGTACTGGTCTTAATAAACATGCACATTTTAAAGATTTTGGTATGGCATTCTTAACATTATTTCGTATTGCAACAGGTGATAATTGGAATGGTATTATGAAAGTATGTAATTTAATAAAAATAATGTTTTTTTTTTCTTTAAAATTATAAAAATTTGTTTGAAAGGACGCTTTACGCAACGATGATTCACCACATAGTGTGAAAAATCCATTTATGACTGCATTAGCACCAATTTATTTTGTTGTTTTTGTTCTTATGGCTCAATTTGTTCTTGTCAATGTTGTTGTTGCTGTATTAATGAAAAAACTTGATGTAAATAAGAGACTAAAAAAAAATTTTATTCCTTTTATTTCTTGTCTTTTCTTTTCTTTAAAGGAATCAAATCGTATGGTAGCTGATGAAGCAGAAATTGATGAAGAAATTGAAAGACAATTAGAAGCTGATGCACATGATAGAAATTATCTTGAACAACCATTACTTGATGATAAAGATCTAGATGTAAGTCAATATTTTGCCTTATTCATTATTAAAAGACGAAAAGAATCATCAAAAGAAAATTACTCATTTGATTAATGAAAGAAATCTTCCAACTGGTTAATCACTTTTGAGTCTAAACTATGTGCATTGTGTAAATTCGAATGAGCTATAAATACCCAGAAAAGAGTTTAGGTTTTTAGCTTATTACTGTGAAGGCAATGCACTTTTATAGTAGTCTTTAAATGAAAACCGTGGTCTTCCTGAGGAAAAGTGATTTTTGAATTTCTAGTTGAAACTTTGTATAGAGGTAGATCTTAACGAGAGTTGTTTATTTTGAAAGTTTCAAGGCTTTTAAGTTCTATCTTAAGATGGGAACAACGACAAGATCCGAAACTTTTACAAGAAACTATTCTCGTTAAGGTCTGTCTGTGTGCAAAGTTTCCAATCGAAATTCGAAAATCAGTTTTTCTATTACTACGGCATTCATTTAAAAATTGTCATAAAAGTGCAGTATCTTTGCAACAATAATCTAAGGGTACAAACTGTTTTCAAAGTATTCATAATTCATTTAAGACTATAAATTGCGTATAGTCTCGACTCAAAATGCTTTCTCTTGTAATTTTTTTGAAAAGCATTTATTCCCATGTTTGACAAGAGATGTTTTTAGCATTTTTTTTTGTCTCGAAATATGTCCATACTGGTAATGGTTACTTACAAAATATTTGGATGCACTAAGTTTCAAAAGTTTTCAGTAAGACATACAATCATATCTTTAATGAAAACTTGTTGTCTGTCAAAAAAAAATATATCAATAATTATTTCTTTTAATAAATAATGAATATTTAACTTTGCTTGATCGAGAGTAAAATTAAATCATTTTAAAAATTTGTTTTATGTTTTACTCATCATCACTTGCAATAAATTAATATGCCAGAAGTTATGACTAGTTTTTCATTCTTCGTATACTTTAGCTTCTAAATGATAATACAATGCAATTGTTTCCATTGACTAAACAACTATCTTTACCACCTAATTTTACATTTCATTCCATGAGTTCACCAACACCACGTCGACCAAAATGTAAGTTGATATATACTTTTTTTTTCTTTATTAATTAAAATTAAAAATTTTCTCTTTTTTTTTTGTTTTTGGAAATTTAGTTAAAACAATTGAAGTAGTTAAAGGTTCATCATTATCATCAGTTATTGGTTCACCATCACGTTTTATAACATTACAAATAGACAAATCTTCATCATCAGTTAATGATGAAGAAAATATTCCATTAAATGTTCGTACAAGTACAGAAGTTTTATATCGTCCAACATCAATTATATCTCATCATCGTTCAAATACAGTTCCATCACGTGATCGAAGATCTGATTCAAGAATAAAATCAAATCAACAAACAACATATCTTTCGCCAACATATAAACGTCATGAAAATATTCAACGATCACCAGCACCTCAACCATTTTCACCATCATTATTACCGTCACAAGCAAGACGACGTATACGTGCTATTGATGATCCCGATGAAATCGATTCACCAACAGGTAGCATTACCAATCGCTATGTTTAACAACATATTTGAAAATTCCGTCCAAAAAAAAAATATATAAAATAAAATAAAATATAAAATACATATGACAGACGACGGTCTCTGTCAGATAGAAAAAAAGAATAAATAAGTTGTATTTGTGTTTTATCATCTAATATTATTAAGAAAGAGAGCGTCTGATACTTAATATCAAACAAAATTCTTCATTTTTTTTTCTTTTTTCTTTTTGTTGTTTTATCTTTTCTTTAATTCTGCTAATGGACGCATCTCTTGTGGTGTTTTTTTTCTTATTGTGTGTTTGTGTGTCAGTTGCATATCAAGTTTTTTTCTCTTCTTTTTTTTATTTCTCTTCTTTCTTTCATTTCTCTTCTTTTTTTTGAATAAAACAAAAAATTAAATTTAAAGTCATTGCAAACGAAGACATGATTGACGAAGTTCTTCATATCGACGACGATCCTATAAAAATAGATATTTGTGAAAATTTAATCCAAAAATAAGAAAAATAATTACCCTTTCAGAAACTGATGGTAGTATTTTACTAAATGCTCGATCTATATGTGATTGATGGACACAAGCATTATCTGTTGGTAAAGATTTCAAAATATGTTCTGTCATGGCAATTTCTGATGCTTCACGAATTAATGCAGCAAGATCAGCACCACTAAATACATAATATCAATTCAAACAAGTGATCAAAAAAATAAATCATCGGACAATTAAAATTTCTAATTCGATGAATTTGTTTTGATTGTAAACGAAAAAATTCTTGTAACATTTATAATATTAGTCAAAAATATAAGACCAATGTATTCTTTTTTTTTCTATGATTTCAAGTATTTAATTCAAATCTAAATAATGGTTTGAATAGCCAATCACGTTTTCTATCGACTGCCGTGCGTATCGACATTTGATAGATGGACTATCAGTGGAAGGTATCTAAAAACTAAACACGGTAGTGTTTCGATTCCAGAAGACTGCATGAAAAGAGTACTATCTTAAAGAGCACAATCATCTGAGTAAAATGAAGGGTTGCCGAATTTTCTACTACCTTCTCTTAGAAAGTTACAAGCATCACAAAAAACAAAAAAAAAAGCGCTTTTTTAGCAGTACTATGATAAGTTTCGCTTTTTTTTTGCATTGTTTGTGATGTTTATAACTTTTTGAGGGAAGACCGTTGAGAATGCAGCATTCCCTCATGTTATTCAGAATTTTATGCTCTTTAGTATGGTGCTCTTTTTCATACAGTCCTTTGAGATCGAGACAATACTGAGTTTAGTTTTTCAGAAACCTTCCTCTCACAGTCCATCTATGAAAATCCGATATGGAATTTCTTTGATAGAGGAGCACATTGGCTATTCAAACTACTATTTAGATTTGAGCTAAACGCTTAACATGGTAGAAAAAAAAATACGTTGATCTTATATTTTTGATTAGTACTGCATATCGTTTTTGTTAGACAGAACAGAGATAAATGATATGGAGAGAACAGTGAACTAATACTCAGAAAACAACCAATTTTTCGTAAGTTAACTGAAGTGTCAAACATAGGATTTCTTTCAATTGAAAGATAAACCCTGTTCCTTATGATAAAAGAAAATGACAATCTATACAAGTAATACTTACGTATATCCATGACAACGTTCATCATCACTCATCGCTTGTAGATTAACATCCGATGCTAAGGGTGGTCGAGTACCATTCTAAAATATAAGCATATTATCCTTATTTTCAATTTAAAATATTGATCATTACTTTCGTAATTGTTCTAAGAATATCAAGTCGTTCTTGAGCATTTGGAAGACCAACATAAATATGTTTATCAAGACGACCCGGACGAAGTATAGCTGGATCGAGAATATCTATTGAAACGAAACCAGAAAACATATCCGTCTTTTTCATGAAAATAATTCTTTTTTTTTTTATAAACTAACCCATTCGATTCGTTGCTGCCATAACATAAACACGTTTACTTGCTGTTGTTTGATCAACACCGTCCATTTCAGTTAATAATTGATTAACAACTCGAGCTGTTGAACCAGTATCATGAGCTGTACGACGTGGACATAATGCATCAATTTCATCAAAAAATATGACACATGGATTTGAATCACGTGCTCGTTGAAATACTTGTCGAACAGCTCGTTCACTTTCACCAACATACTATTAATTGTTTTTTTGTTTAAAGAAAAAATTCAAATAAGATTTCATTAGATAACAAAGGAGAAAATTAAAAAAAAAATACCATATTTAATAATTCAGGTCCTTTTACAGATATAAAATTAATACCAGATTCATTTGCAATTGCTTTTGCTAATAAAGTTTTACCTAAAAAATATACGAAGATTTATAATTAGAATAAAGAAAGTTAGAAAATTAAAAAAAAACTAACCGCATCCTGGTGGGCCAACAAGCAATACTCCGGGTGATCGAACAAATCCAAAATGATCATACAGAGTCGGATGACGAATAGAGGCCTATGAAAAATATGTAGATTATTTATTAAGAAATGACTAAAACAAATGAAAAATTCTTCTTACTAAAATAGCCATACTAAGTTCTTCGCGAACATCTTTTAATGCACCAATATCATCAAATGTAACATCAGGTACTGTTGCAAAACCTTCTCGTTTACTCGATGGTTGAACACTCTTTAAAGCTATCTATTTTCGTTTAATAGAAAAAAAATATAATTATTCAAAAATAAAAATAAGACTATGTTAGTTTTTCTTTTTTCTTCTATTTACTCGAAAATCATTCATTGTTATTGTATATGAATTCGATGAAGAAGTTTGTTGTTCAGTTTCTGGTTCATGAATTTTTTGTTTCACCCATTCAATCACTTTAAATTCGTTATATATTACAAAATAAATCAATAAAGAACAAAAAAAAACTGAACGTACTAGATTGATTAGTATGCAAATCAGTATTCATCTTTCTAAATAAAAACATATGAAAATATTTCTAAGAATAGACTGTTTAATGGAAGGTCAGAATTTTGGAGTGAACCTAAATTCCTCTCATTAACCCTCATAAAAAGCCTTGCTTGTATGAATACTTGCTACACTTCATACTGCTTAACAGTATTCATTTCCATCAAAAAATACTTATCAGCAGCATGCATTTAGATGAAACTACAGTTCTAGAGTTTCGTTCAATAAGATGGAGTGAACAAATTAACAACATTTATGAAGAAACATTAATTAATTAAAAGTGAATCAGAGGAGCATCACTTGACAATATTATTGAGCACTTCGCTTGTTCCATTGGTGCTTGTTGTATACAAGTAATAATCATCTCAGAAGACTACACCACTTCAAATAGGATCAAAGAAGACTGTTCAGCGCTATACAGTCCTGCTGGGTACTAGATAGTGATGAGTGGGACAAATCGTTTTTATTCCCGATCTCGGTCAGAAAAGAACTTTTGATCCTGGATTCGCACTTAGTAATATGTGTACTAGCGAATGATACCATATCACTTTCTATTAGTGCCAATACAGTCGATACATTTTGAATGATCTATTCTGCACGCTTATATGTTCGATAACTCGATTGTTTACCAAGAAAAAGGATTAAGTTTGTTATGAAAATTGTGAAAACAAATATTGAAGTGATCGTTATTCAATAATTTTTGCATAAACTTTTAGAACAAATGAATCGAGAGAATATGACATTTGATGCAAATAAAACATATTCATTCCAATGAAAAAGTGTTAGTTCTAATCTTGAAACTACCTTACTGAGTACCATGTTTTATTGAAAATGCATGCCACTGAGCACTACAGAGTGTTCCAGCTTTCTATAGAATTTTTGATTTTTTTTATAGACGTTAATGAGAAGAATTTGAGTCCATATCGAAAATCCTGTACGACTTGAGTCGAAATTTATATAATCCCAATTAATTCTATATAAACTTGTACCTATTTAATGCTGCTACTAATGCTTCATCAATTAATGCACTTAAATCAGCACCAACAAATCCAGGTGTTTTTAGTACAATTTCGTCGAGATCAAATGTCGAGTCGAGTGAAGTTAATTTTTGACACATCATTGTTAAAATTCTTAAATGTAGTACATAATAACAAATATATAGTTGAAAAAAAAAGAAATTTTTACCTTCGTCGTTCATTTTCATTTGGAATTCCAAGTGCAATTTCATGATCAAATCGACCAGCACGTCTCAATGCTGGATCAAGTGAATCAGGTCGATTTGTTGAACCAATAATAACAACACGAGTCATTGGTAAATGAGATAATTCTTTATAGAAAAGAAGAAATATATTTAAAATTCATTTCATTAAAGTTTTATTTTACCATCAAGACATGCTAATAATTGAGTAACAATACGTCGTTCCATATCTTTCGAAGCTGATTCACGTCGTTGTGAAATAGCTTCAATTTCATCGATAAATAAAATACATGGAGAATGACGCTACAAAGATATTTTTTGTCAAAAAAAGAAAATATTGAATTTCAATTCTTTTTCTTTTTTTTTTACTTTTGCTTGATCGAATAATTTACGAATTTTAAATTCTGAATCACCAGATATTCCAGATACTAATTCAGTTGATGTTGTTTTTAGTATTGGTAAATTTAATTCCTATTAATGAATAAAAAAAATCAAATGGAAGAAAAGTTTTTTCCATCGATTTACTCCAGCTAATGCTTGAGCTAATAAGGATTTTCCAACACCTGGTGGTCCATGTAATAGAAAACCTCGTGGTGGCGTTTTTCCATTTTGAATAAATCCTTCTGGTCGTAAAACAAAATAAATTCGACGAATTAAATTCTAAATTTTTCTTTTATTGGATTAATTGTATTCTATTAAAAATAATTTTATACTTCTTTAAATGAATCAGATGCAGAAAAATCTTCAAATGTTATTGTCGAATACTCAACATCAGGACCTAGTAAATATAATTTAAAATAATATTATAGTTCTGACGAAAATTATACGACCATCTATTATTTGCTCGTTCTCAACTACAGAAAACTTTTGAGAAAAGAAAAGTTTATCTCACCACATGCATTCGAGTATATTTTATTCAAATAATGAAATCGAATTTCCTTGATTCTATGAAATATATAGGACCATTATCATATTTTTGTTATTTCTGGATCAGAAAGATGTTAGTCTTGCTTGTTCTTCTGAACAGTTTCATTAAAAAAATGTTTTAAAAAATATTTATATTTGAATTTAAAATGAGATATTATTGATCTAATCGAAATAGTTTAAAGACATCATCTAACGGTGAAAGTTCTCCAAGTGATTAACGGCTTTTGACTGTGAAGATACTAGATTTTTATAGTACTGTGGTCTTCCTCAGAAATACTAGGAAAACTGATGTTAGAATTTCGATGTGAAACTTTGCATTGAGATAGACCTTGGCGAGAATAGTTGATTATGAAAGTTTCAGACCGTTCCGTTGTTTCTATCTTAAGATATGGGGATGGTCAAGTCGTGTCTTTTACATCGTTCTTATCTATCGACAAATTCGATATTCTTATTTCAGGATAGGAGCACATCAAAAGACTTCAAATTTCCACCATAAACTATTCTCATCAAGTCCTATCTCTGTGCAAAGCCTCAAGTCTCAATTCGAAAATCAGTTTTTCCTGTGTTTCTGAGGAAGAAGACCACGGGATTGAGTTAAAAACCACCGTAAAAATGCAGTACCTCTGCAGCAATAAGCTAAAGGCTTAGACTCTCTTCAGAATATTTATAATACATTAGATTCTACATAGTGCACAAAGCTCTGAATGAAGAGCGATTAATCAATCAGTTGGAGATACTTCCCTCGTAAGTTCAATATTGTAGCTGAAAAATTAGAACTATAGGCAAAACTGATTTTTGGACAACGAATTCGAATATACAAAGCTTTTTTTATCACAAAATGAGACGTTCAGTAGTTCTGTGCATTATATCATTACAGAATAACAACGGAAATTGAAGGAATTTGGAAGCAGTTTTCTCGTGACTTCCGACCGATTCTAATGAAATTCAATTGTTTCCAGAGTCTGGAATCATCAACTTGGGCATACTACCTGTTTGCATGAAAAAAGACACAGAAAATGGATTGAAATCCTCACATGTTATCGTCGTAGATTTTGACAATGTGTGTTTCTCTGCAAGGAAATGGTGCACAAAACTGACAAACATCTTATTTTGTCGAAAAACATGTCGTCTGTTCGAATCCAATTATCAGCTTGGCATATATTTCAAATTTAGTAGCTAAAATATTGAACTTAAGTTCAATATTTTCGTGCTATTCTAACATCTCTCTGATTCACAAATAACGAAAATATGATAGTGGTCCTACGTATTTGACGAAGCAAAAAACGATGAATTTTAATAAATATTTGTTTTCTTCAGCTTGATAATAGTGTCAAGCAAATCTGATTCCATATTTGAATCAAGCATACTCGAATGAATGTAGTCATCTCGATGTTTTTTTCTCAAGAGTTTAGAGTGATTGAGTGCCAGCAAACAACAAATGATACTACAATTTTGATCAGAGCTGTAAAATAAGAAAAAAAAAGAATTAATAATACCATCAATATCATTTGTAACTGTTGATTCTGTTGGTTTTTTTCTTTTGACTTGTTTTACTGATTTTTCATTTGATTGTTTTCTTTTGGTTTGTTGTTCTTCTTCGGATTTTGTTGGTGTTTCCATTTGAACATTAGAATTTTTTTGTGAAGATGATGATGCTCCAATATTATTAACATAAAGATTAGCAACCATTTGATTCATTGTGTTAGGACGCTAAACTAGATCGATTTGATAAGATTTCAAAATGAATCATTTTGTTTTAGAAATTTCTCACATGAGTAGCTTGTTGATCCCATTCAGCTTCTGAATCAGATAATCTATATATTATAAATATAAAACGATAGTCTTTCATTAATAATGAAATTTACGTTGCATTTTCTTGTAAATTTCCATTTTTCGATGATACAAATGAAAGAAATTCATTATCAGTTAATAAAATTTCATAAGCTATTTAATATCAGAAAAAAACATAATAATTATTTCAAAAATTCAACAATCATTTGTAATAACCTTTTTCAACAGAACGTGTAAATGGTCGTATTTTTTGTCGTTGATATTCTCTAAAATTCAAATTAATAAAATGATAGATACAAAATATTGCTTTTTCCATTTACCGATGTCGATCTTTTAATGTCTGTGCAATTTTGTCTAAACTCCATTGTATTCGTTTTCCGTCTTCAAGTAAAAACTATACACATACAAAAACAAAAAATTCTTCTTATTTAAAATCTTATCTTTTCATCATCATATCACCTCTTTTAATTGTGATACTAAAAGATTATGAACCATATACGGTGTTGGCATCTAAAATGAAAAAATCAAATTCTCAGTGCAATTCCTACGAGATTAAAATGCAAAATACGATGTAGCTGCTCTTGATATTCACAGAGAGATTGCTTTATTCTATCTGTTTTTGGACATATATCTTCACCTTTTTTTTACTTAACCCTTCAGAAATCCAATACGGAAGTAGCTGACATATTAGAACGAGACGTTATTGATATATAGTCTTTGATCAAATATCAGCAACATCTTGCACAATCTATGATGGAAAGGGAACACGCTGCTAAGGTGTCTGTTACTATCTGTGAGAGGAGGGGGGTCCAAATATTCACCTTATATACTTCCACACTTCTTTCAGATTGTGTTTCACAAAACACGCGACTTCTTTTTTTTTTCCTTCGGACAAATAGTACAATGCAACGAACTACAATCAAACAAGTTAATAGTAAAATTCTACATCAATTGAAACAGAAAAACAGAAAAAAAGAACATTTATTCGTTCTTGATTATGTTTGATATATATATATATATATATATATCTAATGTTTGTTTGTTTTTTTTTCTTTTATGTAAATTCAACATAATTTTCCCAAAAAGCAATAACAGCTTGAGGATATTTTTCATTAGCAATTTTTGATGGAATCCATTGTGATTGATTTTCATTAATTAATTTAATACGAAATGATATTCCATCTTGATTCTTTCGTACACATTCTATTTTTTCAACTTGATCGGTTTCATCAATTATTTCAGATGTATTTTGATCATTTAGATAATTATCAATAGAAATTGTTTCATTATTATTATTATAATTATTACTATTATCATTATATGTTATAGAAATAGATGATGTTGAATTTGGTGTAATACGAAGTAGAAGATCAATTGGTGTTGGTTCATCGATAGTAATTTCATTTCTTAAACTATCATCTGGAAATTCAATACTATTATTATTTGTATTACTATCATCATCAATAGTTGTAATTAATTTTTCATTAGATGTATTTTTAATTGAAGAAATTTTCTTTTCTGATTTTTTTATTGATGATAATTCTTCTTCAACAATATCATCATCATCATCAGTCGAGCTTTGATTGTTAGCTAAAAAGATATTTTCTTTGTTTAAATTAATAAATGAAACAAATATTCCTGGAATAATTTCGCTTCATTTTTTTTTTATTGACGAAAACATATTTCAAATAAATCAAAAATATCTATTCAGAATCTACATTGAAAGTGCTTTTTAACTGTATGTTCAAAAAAGTTCTATCATGTCTTTCCTCTAAGTAACAAACACATCTTTAATAATACTTAAATGCAGTTTGTAAAAAGTAAGCATGCGCCGAATCTGAGCTCTGATTCAGTGTTCAGAAACTATTCATCCAGTTCAGATAGGATCGGATATTTAGGTAATGATTTCAGCGTGTGTTAAAGTATATAGGCAATCATTGAAGCACCGGAAGATTCGGTTAAAGATGCTCTCTCCTTTGGGCCACTTCTATTTCTCCGTGAGAATGCAAATGGTCAGACACAAATTTTACTCACAGCTAGATTATCGAAAACGGTAGGACTTCTGAGGTTCTCAAAGATCTCGTCCAAAGTCTCTGAAGATTTACTTTTAAATTTTTTTTCCTCGAACATGTGTCCCATCATTTTTGCTAATCTAGCTGTAGTTAAAATTTGAGCCCGACTGGTTGCACTATCGTCAAGAAACGCTTGGACAATTACTTAAGTCCCTAACCCTATCTTAATTGATCGGATAGTTTCCGAACCCGAACTTCGAGGTAGACTTCCAGTTTGGTGCATGGGTAGTAGAGAGTGATCTACAATGGCTGCAACAGAGATAATCGAGATTTCAGTATTTTTTCAATTTCTCCCATGCGGTTTATCCTATACTGTTGCTCTTTTCTTTATTAGTTTCATCGTTTAATTATCAACAAATCTGATAGAAAATCATACAATATCGTTCAAAGATAATTTCCTTTTGTCAGTAGTCATTGCACGGACTTCTTACAGACTACAGTTTAGTATTACCTAAGAATGAGCTTGTTACTAAAAGACAAAATGGGATAGAACTTTTTTTGAACGTATAATTATAAAATACTTTCAACATAGATACTGAATAGATATTTTTGATTTGTATATTTTAGTCGATAAGAAATGAAGCGAAATTTCCTCATGAAGTTGTCCATTAGTCATTAAATGTATACTTACACATTGATGTAATACGAAGTTTTGTTTGTTTAACGATTTTTCTATTGGAATGACGTCGAGCTGATTGAGACGAGACAGTTTTTTTACGTGCACTATGACGTGTAATAATTAGATCATCACCATCATCATCATTAACACCATTATCTTCATTCATAGTTGAATCAGTACTACGTTCTGTATTTATTGATTCATGTTGATCATTTTCATGATCTTCATTATCATCTTGCATATTTGTATTTTTAGATTCTTCCGATATTGTTTGTTTTTTTGATCTTAATTTATGATGTGAATGTGATTTTTTTTCATTATTTTTCTTGTTTAGACTTTTTTCAAAGTCTTTAATCAAAGCTGGACAATTTAAATGATTTTCATCTTCCCACTAAATACAATAAAATTAAATATATATACATATATAAAAAGAAAATTTTTAATTGTAAATTGCTTGAAAATGGTTCATTGTATGAAGAAATTTAGTAAAGAAAACAAAACAAAAAAAAACAACATTTCACCATAAAAAGTTAATCATGTCGATTGGGATTTTTTTTATTGTTATTAAATCTTAGATCAGTACTAAAATCAAAACTACTATAAGCAATAGAATCATGCATAAAAATTCTGATAAGTAATGTGTGATATTAATAAATAATGTGCCATTTTTTTTTTTACAATTTGTTAGTAGCTTTTTCTTTTTTAATTATCTAATGTTAATAGTTTCACAAAACAAATACTTGTAGAGAACAATAGCCACCACCTCGATTCCACTTCATTATTGAAATAACATGATCAGAGCAGAAAAAAAATCAGCTTAAGAATTTGTGATCACACTTAACAAAATACTCAATCAGTATTTCTTATGTACATCACGTTTGGAATCACATACTTCATCAAACAAATACATCTCTACTACTTTCGGATTCGAACTATTCATTCTAATCGATAATCAATGTTATAAATTATCATATATTTATGTTAGATTCAAATAAAAATATATTTGAAAGTGATTAGATAATAGAGAAAAAATGTAGCACCTAATTGAATATTCTATTTTAATACTAACATTGTTATTTGATTGTTCTAGCTTTGATCGAAAGTATAAACTCGAAAACTGATGTGGAGACTTCTGAATATTTTCTTATTCAGAAAATTAAAGAAATCAAGTAGCTAAATTTGAATCGAATGTTTAGTATTGAAAAAGAAAGACAAGAAAAAATACTTTAAAATATTAGTTTATCCACCTTAAATAATGTTCTTATTATACAATGTGCTTATTCGATTTTGTAATGCTATTTTTCGTTTGTTTTTCTACTTCGATGCTTCAGAAGACTATTAAAGTATAATATTCTGTACATTATGATAATCTGCAACTTGTGTATGAGTGTGTCTTCTCTTCAGTCATACACCTACAAGCCGATATTGATCATGCAGTAATGACAATCTTTATCCAACACTTTTTCAAAACAGTCTTTTTTTTCAGAATTTTACTTTTTATAAAATTTTTTTTCGATATTTTTTTACTTTCGACCAAAGTTGAGTTTACTCTGTTATTATCTTGTTAAAAATCACATTAAACATTTTTTTTTTTCGTAATTTTAAAAGTTAGTTATACATGATCTAAAGCTATACATACTCCAATTCTAATAAGCTACTTCCTTTACATTAAAATTCGTCGATATTTGTTGAGTAAATAGTATTCAACTGCAATATTTTAATAAAAATACTAAGATGAAATTTTTTGATAGATATTTTTTTTAAATTTAAGTGAAGAAAACTAAAGTCTATGACGCGAAAACTTTGGCATAAAATATTCATTCATCTTTAAGCCACTGGTTAGAATCAGACTTTTTTAAACAAAATTTACTAATAGTTGTTCGGTCACATCCCGGAAGAAAAATTTGAGAATATATTCGGAAATAGCAAAAAAATTCTGCTTCTGGCTCTAACCAGTTGTCTTTTTAGTAGTCGAGAAATAAACGAATATTTTATGCCAAGACTTTCGCACTATAGGTTATTTTTTTTTAAAACATCTCTAAGATCTTACCGTATTATCTTCATTTGAATAACCTTTCCATTTGAGTAGATATTCCGTTTTCTTGCCTGTAATTCGTTTATCAAGAATAGCTTCAACTTGATATTCATGTGAGGACTCATCATCACTACTTGACATATGTTCACGTTGACGTTTTTTTGATGATCTATTCACCATATTTTTCTAAATTTTTATCTGAAAAAAGAAAAGAAAACAACAAATCAAACTAATATGTCTTATCCATCACAATGTTGATAGAAACGAGGAAATAAGATAAAATCTCGAACATTATCAATACCAGTAATAGCCATTAAAAATCTTTCTATTCCTAAACCAAAACCAGCTGTAGGCATTCCACCAAAACCTCTTAAATCAAGATACCATTGTAAATCTCTTGTTATATCTAATTCATCTAAACGTAATTTTAAATTTTCATAACGATGCTCTCGTAAACTTCCGCCAGATAATTCACCAACAGATGGAAATATAAAATCAAAATTAGCAACTGTTGTATCATCATCATTCATTAACATATAAAATGGTTTTAAAGTTTTAGGATAATTTATAACAAAAAATGCTTGATTATTCATTAGTTTTTGACAAAGATAATTTTCATGTGCACGATTAAAATCACCATTATCAGGAAAATCATGAAAATCAACACTTTTTCTTAAATATTCAACTGCTTCTTTATAATTTATTCTTGGATAATCATTTTGATTAAGTAATTGATCAATATATGTCGATTGAATATTATTATTAACTAGATATTTAAATTCTTCAGGACATTTATTATATATTTCAGTTGTAGTCGTACGTACAAGATCAGTATAAGCATCAAGTAATTGATCTAGTTTAGTTAGACCTAGAACAAAGAAAAGACAAATAAAGCGAATTTAATGAACGACAATGATTTTTCATTAACACGAAATGATGAAAATTGTTCTTTTTTAACAGATGACGCCAGAGTTCATTAAGTCTCTTTTTTTAAATAGTTTGAAGCTTGATTATTCAAAAAACTTTGATCTGATGAGGGAACATCTATAAATATCAAATCTCTTTTCGATCAAGACGACGTTCATTTAATGAGGAATAGAAAATTCTAGAATGGTTTGGTGTTCCGAGCCTTTCTTCTTGAGAAATCGTAATTTTATTGAGTTTTTCAACCAAAAGCTGTGGTCTCCCTCAGGTCACGTGATACTTTCGACTTGAGACTTTGCACGCACAAAGTTCTTAATGAGACTAATGCATTGGGCAAGTTGTAACTTTTCTAGTATCTTCTATTGTGAGATATTCAATATTCGAAATTCTTTCATGTGTAAAAGAACGTTTTGTTCATATATTTCAATTTCTAGCAAAGAAATATTAGAAAAGCGAAAACTTACATAATCAAATAATCTCATTAAGAACTTTATTCATGCAAAGTTTGAAATCGAAACTCTCATGTGACCTTAGAGAGACCATAGCTTTTTGTTGAACAACTCAGTAAAATTTTGAGATCTTACGAACAAAGGCCGAGAAAATCAAACTGTTCTAGGCTTCTCTATTATTCTCTAACGCTCATCATATGAACATCGTCTCAATTGGAAAGCGATTTGACACTTGAACAGATTCCCTCATGAGTATTACTAAGGTGAAAAAACGGATTATTTAATGCAATTTAACTAATGATAAACAATGAATTCTTACTTTCTCTACACTATTCATATAAATAATGATCTGACATTTTTTTTTTACTGAAATTATGTCTGAAACGGAAATTCTTACACGTTACTAATAGAAGATTCGATTCATTTTCTTATCTTTTTTTGAATACAAATTATTCATTGGTTCTTTAAATATAAATCAGCTTTCAATGTGGTGATTAATCATATGCACATGAATCTATTGATATGAAGAAAGAAAAATAGAACATATTTAGTTCTTGCTTTTTGATGAATGACAGCACAATAGAAAGATAAAAATAACATGACTAATGAGTTTTATATGTTTATCTACTCTCTGTGTAGGTAGTACGATAAATTATACATCACATCATCTTTTTAGGAGAAGATATATCTCACTAACAAGTCAAATAAACATCATTTTACTAAATCTGCTCTGCAATAAAGCAATTACATTACATATGATATAGAAGTTTTCTGATAGACAGCTCGTGACTCATTTACAGTGAATCTTCGATAATAAAATTTAATTAAACGAATCATACGTTGAGTGTATTGTAGAGATCAAAAACAAACTGGAACTTATTCTCGAAAAGATAGTTCAAAAAATTGATTGACCTATCATTGATTTTAGAAAGATGTGATGTTGTCAGCAAGATAAAACGAAATTTTATTGTTTGTTTTACTTGCTTAATTTTGTTCTCAATATAGGTCTACTCCTAAACTCGTCCCTGATTGACAATTAAGATAGATTGTCTCATTTCAATTGTTTTTCGAATTGGACCCTGATTAATCTTTCCATCAAGATCAATGAGAACAAGAATTTAAACTCACACGCTATTCTACAATGTAAAACATTAACCTATTTAATAATGAAAAACTGATCAACCTATTCCAAGTATATGCAAGAGGAGAGCTCGACAAAGTATAACTGACCGTGAAATCGGGTGATACGGTAAAAACTTCTCGTCGCAAAGAGATAAAGCCTATCCTGTTATAGAGTTGTTGTTTTTCTGCTTTCTCTGTTACTTATGTCTGTCATTTGCTCTGTCAATATATAGAAAAACTAATAAACTATCTCTGTTACTCATGTCGGCTGTCTTACTTAGTTGACAATTAAGAGCCAAATCAGTGATGGACCGAATCACGAAAACAAACTAAGTTCGACAAAATCCGTCAAGGAGCAGTTTGGGGAGTACCGTAATATAGTCTTTTTTTCTCTTCATGACAGTTATACTAATTCTGTTTATGATGATGGATCACTTCGGTGGGGTATAAGTCTTTTATTCTTTCCTCTCTAAAGTTTCGCTAGTTTTCTGAGCTGCGACGAATAATTACCTGTAGGGATACGCGATTAATATTAAAAATTTAAGTGTACCGTCCTCTTTTTTGATTGTTTCTGATTGTTGTAGACGGTACAATCGATTACGCTAAAATTTTTACCACAGATATAGCACCGAAAATAAGGAGACACGTGTTCAAGGAACAAAATTGCAAAGTGAACTTTTGCTTGGAAACCTTGATTGTCTCTAGGACCGCATCCTAGCACATTATGATCCTCTTCTAATTTTGTCCAATCGGGTTAAAATTTCTACCATTGATACTTGAAAGTATTCTCCAGAGATTTTATCAGCCGTTTCCATTTTTGACTTTTCTATCCTGATTTACAGAATCCTGAAAAGCCAAGACTCCCGTTTTGGTTTCGAACCTTTATATATTTCTCTCATAAAAAAAAATAAATTGAGATCTTTCTGGATAAGCTTAATATTACCTCTGAGATATAATCTTAGGTATCTCAAAAAAAATTTCAGTCCAATTGGATAACGTTTGATGGGGTCGTAATCTACCAGGACGCAGCCCTATAGAAAACTGGGATTTCATAGCAAAAGTCCACCTCAAGACTTTTTCCTCGAACACATGTCTCCTTTTTTTGGTGTTCTATCTGTGGTAAAAATCTTAGCCTGATTGATCGTATTGTCTTCGAGAACCAGAAACGATCAAAAAAAAGAGGAAAGCTACCCTTAATTTTAATCCATCAATGCCATAGTTATTATTAATTGATACGAGTATCAACTCTAATGTGACCTCTCTAGTCATTCGAGAATGAAGTTCTCACTTTATCGTCTAGTCTTATTTAGGTATCATTATGGCTGAATGGCTATGTTGCTCGATATGCACTCCGACGCACTATGTTCAAGTCTTAGTATCACAAGCCATGGGATGATTCTAGACAAGTCACTAACGACTGCTTGTCTTAGATCATCCGTCCGATAGCATGCTCATTACGTGGTGACATAATCTATTCTTGTCGCTCATATGTAGTTACAATTGAACACAAGAACTCTGCGTCAGGCTAGCCTTCGGTCCAGAGATACAGCTAATATTAGTCGTAGGAAAGATATCGAGCTACTGAATCTGCCACTAAACAGCACCATATACCGTAACGCAGGGATATTCTTCCTTTCTTATTTAGACAGAACTAGTGCTACTCAAACCAGCAAAATCCGGTTCGTTTCGATCTGTGGTGTATTACAAAAAAAGACATTAAAAGAACATTTATTCAAAATTACCACTAAAACTAATGATTTGATAATCGATCGAGACAAAACTAGTTTGTTGCAATTAGCCTAAAAACACCTAGTCTACACATCGTCTTTTGTTCGAGTGAATATTCTAATGATAAACTTCAAATAATTGTACCTACCAGCAACTTCAACTTCTAACATCCAAAATTCTGCTAAATGAAATCGACTTAAAGTTTTATCTGCACGAAATGCTGGATTAAGTGTATAGACACGTCCAAAACCACTAATTTAAAAATGCAAAAAAAATGTTATTAGAAAACTAAACATTTGTTTTTCTTTTACTTAGCTGCTGTTTCAAGATGTAATTGTCCTGAAACAGTTAAATAAACTTGTTTATTAAAATATTCTTTTTCTGTATGAGTTGTTTGTGATTGATATGGTTGAATACGAAATGTTTCACCACCACCTTCACAATCATTTTGTGTTAAACATGGAGTTTGAATATGAATAAAATTATGTTTAAAAAAATATTCATATAAACTAAACATTAATTGACTACGTAAACGAAAAATAGCTTGTGCAAATGTTGAACGTAAACGAAGATGTTCATTTTGACGTAACATTAATAATGTTTGTTCAAATTTTGGTTTAATCGGATAATTAAATGCATCACATGAATTAATTAAATTAATATGATCAGCTTGTAATTCAAGTTCTTGTTTAGGATGATCACTTCGAATAAGTTTACCTTGTACATTTATTGAACAACCATATGTTAAATGAGGTAAAGTTGGATGTTTATCTAATGATGCAACAACTTGTAAATGTTTTTGATTATTTGTTAATGAACCATCGAATAGATCAAGAAAATAATGTGTTTTTAATTTTCTTACATTGAGAAGATAACCAATTAAATTTATTGATTGATTTAAAGGTTTTTTATCATATATTTCACGTATTGTTAAAGGATAAATTGTATGAGTAAGACGCGAAATATAAAGAATTTTTCTTGATAATTGTCGAAGATTTAATATTAATGATAAATGAAACATCAAGAATAAACAAAAAGAAGAGAAACGTTTTTTTTCAAATAAATACTTTGTTTATTGTTATAGATGAATCTGTTTGATATTGAATTTTTTGTTATTTTAACAAAAAAAAGTTCTTTTGAATTATAAATAAATTCTACAATGAGATAAATGATAATAGATTGACTATTTCTTTGTTTATTGGATAATTTCATAGTCAAATATTTTTAGTGAGGCAAAAATTACTTGTTTAATAAGTCTTATGAAGAAAAAAAAAGAAATTCCCATTTATTTTTTTTTATACAACTATTGAAAGAAAACCTTATTGATTAGAAACATTTATTTAATGAGATCGATTATCTTTAACAAAAATAAGAAGTGAAAAAAAAGTCATTTTTGATTATCATCAATAGTTGTAGACATCGGGATTGTATGAAAGTTAGCCTAAGCTGAGGTCAGCTAAGCTCAAGTTTATTCATTAGTCCATATTATACTACTTTTTCTATGTACGATGCACAGAGTTATCAGTAGATGTCGTCAGTTATCAATGAAGTATTTCAAGCTCCCTCAAAAGAAGCCAATTTTCATGAAAAATATGAAAATTGAGATGAATGCATGCGAAGATAGCCCGGGATCTAATCTTTCATAAATGACATGATTTTTTAATTGCTACCTCGTTTATTTCCAAGAATTTTTGTTATTTTCTCCTTGAAAAATATGTTTTTTTTCCAGATAAAGCAGAAAACCTTTTTCGCCTTTTGGTTCTTTTTTGATCGTTCATTCCAGAATTTTTGAAAGAACTTCATTGCAGCCAATGACTACATTTTCTGTTTTGAGGACCATGCCAAGATGCAGGACATGCTAGAGTCCATTTTTTGAATTAAGTTTTGCCACTATAATATAAAAGAGTGCTTTTATAAAGACTCACAGAGAATTTTGACTATTTTCGACCTTTGCTTGTTGAATATCTCCAGAAAGCATCATGTTATATGACTGAAATTTTCACCATAGCTTCTCCATTACAGCTTCGACATCCTGAAAATTTCATGTGATTTGAATGTACTTAGACCAAAATCGAGTTTTTAGGAGAGGATTTAAAGAAATTTCGAATGATTGACTTCTTTATCTGTTTGTTTATGATAGTTCACGGAATATACAGGGTGGGTTATAAATAACACTATGATGAAAAAAAAAAACAACGTCGCCGCGTCGATTCAATCCAATGGGCTGAATTTTTGTTTAGTGGTAGATTTATTCAAGATTTTTTTTCATACGGACTCTATCTGAGATCTCTATATCATCATTGGACAGACAGTGCATTCACCATGCATTGTTGATCGATGTTAATAAAGAAATGTCGGTGAAGTAGAAGAAAAGAAAGTGTGAAGCATAACTTCTTGTTGTAGTGAGCTTTTTTATGTCCTATAATAGAACTTTTAAATGAAAACATCATTCAAAATGCCTTTTGTAGCCTGTAAAATCTTCAGGCTGCAGATCCGACCTGAAATCCAAAAGTTTTTTCGTAACTCGATCTGAGTTGGATTTCAGTTGGTATCGTGAAAGCAATTTGACTTGTTATAAAATAAGAAAAATACATATGTAGTGTTTTATAGATCATTTTTAGTTATCATCTAAAAGAATAAGAAGAAGGAATCGAAACGAAGATTATAAATGATACTGCAAGATGCGTAAAAATATCTTTTCAGGGAAGTAATGCTGTTATTTCAAATAATATCAACAATAAGTTTTTTTGCCAAATTAAAGCGCATCGAAAATGGGACTCACCACTGCTACATAGTAATAGTTATGACAACTTTTCAATATCGAATTCGAAAATTTTTTAAAATTTTACGCCATATCAGCAGAGAAAAATTCCTTTTGTGAGATAATTCAAATTAGATCTCATTTTAAAACGATGAATGTAATAAATAATCAGTATAGAAATCATTAGCATTTTTACAGCATGGAGATGAGACTAATATGAATATGAAATTATTTTAAATTGGTCAATCTATATTTCCGTGTTTGTCAAAACATATGAAATGTATTGTTTTTTTAGAGTTTCTTCATCAAAACTATTGTGTTCCATCTCTGATAGCGATTTTCTTCAGATTCTGCTTTGATTATTGTTCCAATATTTTCAAATCAGGAGCTATGCAATACTTTGTGATACTCATCATTTTATATGAGAACAAGTACTTAGGAAAAACAAGAATTGAAGTGTCTTGTCGAATGGCAGAAAAAAAATTCAAATAATGCATTTTGTAAGGTAGCTTCTGATCTATAAACTAATATACAAATAAAAATCCTAAGTTTTAGTTTCAAATCACAATAGTGAAAAGACAAAAATTTTACGTCCAAATTTTTAGGTTTTTTCAAAGATTATTTCACTATTCTCGAACAAAAAACTGAGACAGAATTTCTAAGCACATAATATTCTAGACCAAACTCATAGCTTTTGACTCGTCGGAAATATTTTCTAGCGGATCAAAAGTGAACAAATGTCTCGTCTAAAAACTCTTCCATCATCCGCTATTTTCATTTATTTATTGAAATAAAATATCAGATAAATTTTTTATATTTATCCTTTACTAAAATGGCTTTTATTTAAAGAAAATCTACAAATAGGAAAAAAAAACAACGAATGTTTCAATCATAGATATACATTTTTTATGAAACATTTTCATCATCATCTTGATCTTGTTGTAATTTACTTTGTGCAGCAAAAAGTTTTTCTTGTAAACTGTGAGCAAAACTATCCACATATGATCTTGATTCATGTGTTAAAAGAGCCTGTAATGATTCATAATAATTTGTTGATAATTGACTATTATCATCAAAATGATAACCTACAACTCGATAACCTTCTTGTGTTAATTCAATACAAAATTCAACATCAGCGTTAGATTTTATATTTAAATATGCTTTTGAAACATAATCTGGATTATTAAGACGTTTTGATAATTGTTTTACAGCAACAATACCATCACCTAAATCATCTAATGCTAATTGAGCTTCAGCTAAAAAATCACCTTGTTCACCCGATCTTTTATTCATATTTAATAAAATCTAAAACAAAAAAAAAAAGAAAAGTTAAATAATCTTATGTTGCTATGTCAAAATCACATTGTTTTTTTATCGATTCTTTCGAATTTCTTTTGTTTTTCTTTGATGATTTCTACAGAATCTAAATTTTATTCTACGAAAAATTCAATTTATGAATCTTTACGAATACGAACTAATAAACATCGTTGTTTTGTTTTTTGTATTGGACATACATCATTAACATGTGTACCAGGTATAGGTAAGAAAAATGAATATTTATTAAATCAATCTGGTATCAATGATTTAACAACACTTTATTCAAAATATCATTCAATAAATAATATTGAAAATTTTCAACAATGGTTAGAAAATGATATTGGTTTTACATCATATCAAGCAAAAATGACAACATGTGGAATAAGTTCAAAATTAGGAAAAATTAAAGAATTAAATAAAGGTTTAATACCAATTTGTTGCTCTACAAAAGAAAGACGAGCAGAAAAATATAAATTATTATTTAATAATAAAAATATTAATAAACGAAATCGAAATATGAAATTAATAAATGAAAAAACTAAAAAGTTAAAAACTGAAAAAATTAAATCAGAAAATTTACTAACAAATTCTGCTCATGATGATCAAATAGGTAAATTTTCTTTTTTTTTTAAAAACTTCTTTCATATGATTATTTTTTAAAATAAGAAAATCTTAAATTATTCAACACATCAATTCAACAAGAAGTTAGATCTTCACAATCGTCATCCATGAAGAATAAAGATAAATTCGACATATCATCGAGTCCTAATGAAGTTTCCTTCGATGAGAAAGTTAAAGCAAATAAAATATCAGAAACAAAACCAATAAAATTTAATTCATCTTCAATGATTCATGAAACTACAAATGTTAATATTGATTCACTTGAGTCAACAAAACAGAACAGCTCATCAATGAAAATGAATAATATACAAAATATAGATTCAAACAAAGTATCTTCATCACAAGAATTTCCTAAGATTGATTTATCATCGGGCAGTATGCAATCCAAACAATTAATAATAGATCAAATTCATGATAACATTGACGAAACATTATCAACAATCGAATCATCTAATGATTCTGAACTGCTGAAATCTAAAGCCGATCGAAATCAACAAATAAAAGTTAGCTATTCGAAAGAGATAACTATTAATTCCACATCGCAACAATTCGATTCAATTTTATTATCTGAATTACCTACAGAAAACAAACTTGAATCGAGTACGCGTAGATTCAAAACTTGCTCAAGTAAAAGAACATTTTGTATTTCATTAAGGAGGATCACAATCTAATACAAATGTTGTTTCGCAACGTTTTACTTCGCCGACTGGTAATGTTATGACAGATCCATTAATTTCGTGTCAAAATTTCAAAGAAAAGAATTCTATATACAATCCTAATCTCGGTAATTCTTCAGATGCAAAAGATAACTTAAAAGAAAAACAAGGATTACCAATCGATTGCTCACTGATTAGAGAAATCTTTCAACGGATAAATCACTGTTGGGTAACAATAAACTATTCTTGTTAAGATCTATCGCTGTACAACGTTTCAAATCGAAATTCGAAAATCAGTTTTTCTCGATCATGGCATTCATTTAAAAAATAACGTAAAAGTAGAGTATCTTCGCAGCAATAATCTAAGGACACAAAGTCTTTTCAGGATATTTATAGCTCAGTTGGGTCTCCATAATACACATAGTTTTGACTTCAAAAGCGATTTATCAGTTGCAGGACTTCTCTCATGAGTCTGTTTGATCATGTTTCTTTTTTGGCATATATACTTCAGTTTATTCTGCAGAAAGAGAGAAAGAGTTACCATCAATGGATATCGATATGTTAACTGCGTACGAGTCTTCTATTGATAATAAAGTACCAATTGAAATGATTGATGATCAAACAAAAACTCATTCTTCTTCAATTTTCGTATTAAACGAAAAAACAACTAAATTAAATTCAATAACAGGTGAAAAATTTCACGAAACATTTACTTTAACTAAACAAAAAACTATAATCAACATTAGACAATTTACAAGATAAAAAAGATGAACTTGTTTCTACTTCAAAAAATTTACCGAATTCATCCATTGGAAATGATTTTCCAAGAAAATCAATTCTACGTAATACACAATCAAAATCTATACCTCCATTCCATGCTAATATTCTCTTAGCTTCAATTAAACAGCAACAAGAACAAACACAAAATAAATCATTTCAAATAATAGAATCGTCAACAACTGAATCAAGTAAAAAATCCAAATCAAATGAAATATCATCAAATAAAATAGATGATAAAAGTATCTCAGCTATTAAACGATCTTACGTCTTATTGCCAATTTCAACACCAGCTGTAAGAAAATTCAAATTAATATATTTTCTTTCAAATAATAATTACAGATATTTCCAATAAAACCAAAATCTACGAAAAAATCCGACATTTCAAATTTAATAAAATTATCTTCAGAAAATACTCTTACAGAAAAAAATGATCAACAAATGCTATCCGATAGTAAATTCAACACAATTAATTCAACATCATTGGTGAGTTCCTACGAAAAACTGTTTTAAAAAAGTAGTCGTTTTCTAAGAATTTCTCTCTCTCAGTCTAATAATCCTTCATCAAAAGAAGAAGATGATATCAAACAATATGAAGTACTAATATCCAATCGAATCATCAATGACCTCAATACTCAAAATAAAACAGTTGCTTCATTTTCCAGTAGATTTTACTGCATCTATTTATCAATAGTTCTAAATATTTTACAGATAAATTATCGCAAAAGTATATTTTTAATCAATTGGATTCATCTTTGAATAAATCTCAACAAAATCAATTCGAAGAAAAAATTGAAAAAATGATTTGTCAAATAATGAAACAAGCTTTACACATTCTCAGTGAAGTTACACAATCATCACAAATCAATACTATATCATTTACTAAAGTTAACTCAATAGAATCTTCTTCTGTTCAAATGTCAATATTTGACATGAAAAATTCCAGTGATAAAGTACAATCTATAATCTTATCACCAAGTCATGATGATAAACATCGTACTATATCATCGAAATGTATTCCATTAGCTGAACGACTTGCTCACGCAAAAGCAAAAAAACTAGCAACAATAACAGAATCTAATAGTAAAGATGTTCGATCTCTACCATTATCAGAACAACATAGGTCTGTACGAAAAAAGTGCTTTTCTTTTACCAGTGATCGATTAAAACAATCATTTACAAACACAAGTTCTCAAAGTTCAATGAATCAATTTAAAAACAAAGAAAATTCGTATGAAAACTCGATATCTACACATATTCAACAAGAACCTAACAATATATTTTCCGTAGTACATCCTATCAACAAAATAACAAATAATCTTATATCATCGTCAAATACAGGTTCTTAATATATCTATACTATAAAAGCAAATAGTCTATAAATGGCTTCATTCAGATTGTAGACACTTTTTTCCCGAACAATTAAGGAAAAATGTCTTCAACGCGGAATCGGAAGGGGACAGATAAAAATAGCCGCATAGTAGAATCAAGACAAGATTTATTATGTGAAAAAAAAATCATTAATGGAACGTATAAGAATGAAGAGAAGCCTGATACATCCACTCTCTCAAGATCATCTCACTGTGTTTATTTTCACACTCATTTCGCATTGCAAACATTTTTTTTCTCGAATTAAGGAAAAATGTCTGCAATCAAGAAGATATGCTATAGATGTCTTCTTCTATTTCAATATTAAGAAATACATTAGATGAAATTTCATCATCTTTTCTGATTAATTCATTAGTCAACGAACCGGTCAAGGCATAATCCAAGTCGGTTACGAAAGATGCTAATTCAATCACTTCACCGACGATTGATAATCCTACGAATGGTTCACAAATATTACTAAATTCTCCTTTGAATATACAACTCGACATATTAGACAATCCGTACAAAATATCCGAAAGCAAACTGCCTATTTTGAATGACGCTTCAAATGATCAGGATTCTCATATGGAAAATAAGATCGATAATCAATCCATTTTAATATTGAAGTCAATCGATAGTTCTCCAAAACTATCGGCAAACTTAGATTCATTCTCATTGCCTAACTCAAATAAAAATAATTCTATAACAAAGTTAGCTATTCAAAATAACGAAAAAATAAATTTTTGTAACAGCAAAATAAAAATGACTTGTGTTTTATTAACTACAGAGCTTAAACAACAAATCTTAGAAACAAACAAACCTTTAGAATTCAAATAAAATCCTCTAATGAGAAAAAAACTCTATCAACACTCTGTAATCTGTTCGTTAGTTTCTAATCATTTTTATTAATCTTATTTTAGCATCATTTTCATCAAGTTCTATATCATCAATAAACAAAATTAATTCATCTATAGATAAAATAGAAACTAATTCTAGTCATAGAAACTGTTTCGAAAAAGAAACAAATTCAACAATTCAGCACGATTATTTACTTTTAAATAATTCACCTAGTAAGAATAAATTTGCATCAATATCTACATCAGATTTCAATCAAATATCTAATTTAACTACTGAATTACCTATTAATAAAATTTTAACAGAAGATAACAAACAATCATCATTATTAAGTACAACTCTTTTCAATTACAATAAAAAAGATAAACTGTAAGATGATACTTCATTTCAAATTTCTTCTTCATTGTTTTTATTTCATTTAGTAATAGTACAATGATACCATCTTATCATATGAAACAATTACCAATATCACCAAAAATAAAAGATAATGAATTCATAAACAAAAATCTATCTGAAATAATCAATAAAAATGAAAAATTTGATCAAATATCTGATAATGATGAATTAAAAATAATTTCGTATTTAGCAAATTCGAAATATCAACAAATATCTAATCCATCAACGCCAAAACCATGTAATCCTCTTTGGAATAATATATCAAATGAAAAAATCTTATCTCAACATAAAAATAATCATTTGACTGCCATAGAAAATAATAAATTTTCTAAAGAAATAAATCATAAAGATCATAATCAAAATTATCATTCGTCCACTACATTATTTACATTTATTACACGACAACAATATTTAAAAGAACAGCAAACACTTAATGAACATATTCTCTATGTTAAACAAACAAAACATTTATATAAATCACAATAATAACAAACTAAATGTCTTTCGTTGTAATATGATCAAATTGTTGTGTTTAATTTGTGGAATAAAAATTTTTGAACCAATCATATTTTTATATGTATGATATTGAATGACCTCTATAGGAATAAACCAGACAAAAGAGGCTGTTGCTAGATACTAATAATATTAATGAACTATACATTTCATATTAAGTAAAACACGACTTTCTTTTAACAATTTCAATTCCATTTTTATAGCGCAGCTATGGTATGTTTGTTTCCTAAAAATCTTTTTGATTTTAAAATAAAATTAAAAAATATATAATTAAATATTATCTTAGGCTCCAAAAAAAGGTGGCAAGAAGAAGAAATCACCCAAAGCACCAACCATCATTGATGGTCGCCCAGCTGCTGAGGTTTGTCTTGTTTGATTTTGTCAATTATTTAATTAATTTTATTTATATATTTATCATAATCTTAGATGACAAAAGAAGAATTAGAAGAACATTTAGGTCGTATACGTGAAGAACTTGATCGTGAACGTGAAGAACGAAATTATTTTCAACTTGAACGTGATCGTATAAGTACATTTTGGGAAATAACAAAACGACAACTTGAAGAAAAAAAAGCTGAATTACGTAATAAAGATCGGGAATTAGAAGATGCAGAAGAACAACATCAAGCTGAAATTAAAGTAAGTCTTATATAAAGTTTCAGAGCATCTAAAAACAAAAAGAAAAATGTTGATATACAAGATGACTACAAAGAAGAATCAAAAGACTTAAAAGTTTATTTAAGTCTTGATATTAACTATTTTTTCTCTGCTGTATATCTAAAGTATTCACTAATCCTAATATAATAAGAGCAAATAATATAGATTAAGTTGATGCAAAGAACTGTACGATTATATATGTGTTGATCGAATCCAGTATATCATTAATGGAGACAAATAATAACGAAAAGAAAGCAAAAATATTTTCGTCAAAGCTAGGTTTTTGTTCAGTAAGCTTTTGAATGAATTTAAACTCGGAAAAGAGTTTAGCTTCGATTAGCTAAGTTTGATTAAATAGATTGAATTGATAAGATCTGCAAAAGTTATGAATAAATCAAGTTAATTTATGGACAGTTAGCATTGATCATAATTTACATAGATAAAATTTGAAATACAAGCTTTTTCATCTTTAATACATTGAAAGCGATTTGATTTTGCAAGGTTGTCGAAAATCTGTTTCTAGAGGATGCAGCTAAAAAGACTAAGAATATTTTTATATCAAGTTTCAAAACTTTAAGTACCCACTGTATACTATACTGTGAACTATCGGTGGGTTACATCGCCATGAATATGTTAACATTTATGAATATTTTAATTCATTAGTACTATCAACCAATTATAACTTCTCAAATAAAAACCTTAAAACGGAGCTAAGACAATCTAACTGGCTTAAGACGAATTAAACCTCAAGATGATGACTGCCGTCGTTTGTCCTAAGAAGACTAACTTGTCTATTATCCATGAGAACAAAATATTACAAAAGATAAATACGATTCAATGTCTTCTAATTTCGAAAAATCTTACTTTTCGTTTGATATAGAGCCACCTTCTGTTGTAGGAAATATATCGGGCTATTGAATCTGTCTCTAGGCAGCATCTTATATCGCAATATTTTTCCTTTCTTAATATAGAAAGCTAATTCAATGAATTTTATTTACATATAGGTTTATAAACAAAAAGTCAAACATTTACTTTATGAACAACAAAATAATATTGCCGAATTAAAAGCTGAAACAATTGCTGAATTAAAAGTAGCTCAAGAAGCACATAATGAAGCTGACAATACGATGTGGAAAGAAAAACGAGAACTTAAAGTACAAATGAAAGATCAAGAATTAGCTCAACAAGAAGTTGTACGAAATTTGAAAAAGGTTTGATTTTATTTATTTATTTATTTATTTTTATTATATGTTACTCGACATATATATTTTTAGTCAAATGAATCATATGTATCAAGATTACGTGATGATTTTCTTCGACAAGCTCATGAAATTGAAGAAAAATATGAAAAAAAATTACGTGATTTACGTGAAGAAATGGAATTACGACGTAAAACTGATATACATGAAATTGAAGAACGAAAAAATCAACAAATTAATGATCTTTTACGTAATCATGAAAAAGCATTTAGTGATATTAAAAATTATTATAACGATATTACATTAAATAATCTTAATTTAATTAATACACTTAAAGTAAAATAAATTAATTTTCCTATAAATAAATATATATTATCTATTTTCTTTTAGAATGAAATGGAAAAGAAAAAACAAGAAGAAGAACGATCAGAAAAACGTATGACAGAACTTGAAAATGAAAATCGAAAAATGCGTGAACCACTTGAAGCAGCAAGAAAAGAAACTGAAGAATTAAGACGACGAGCTGAAAATTATGAAAAAATTAAAAGTTTATATGAAGTATAATTAATTTGAAATTCTTTTTTTTTTCATCTATAAAATAAATCAATTAAAATATTTAGAGTAAAAAAAATCAATTGAAAAATTGTGAAGCTGATTTAAAAAATTCTAAATGGGAATATGAAGTTTTATTACAACGATTTGAAATTGTATGTTTTTCTTTTTTATTTTAATAATAATTATATTAAAATTTTGTTTTATATGATTTAGATTCAAAAAGAACGTGATGATCTTTATAATAAATTTATTAAAGCTATTAATGAAGTTCAACAAAAGAGTAGTTTAAAGAATTTATTATTAGAAAAGAAATTATCTACATTGGCGGATAGTCTTGAAAAGAAAGAAGCTCAATTAAATGAAGTCTTATCTGCATCAAATCTTGATCCAGCATCATTATCAGTTGTTACACGAAAACTTGAAGTAAACATTTTTTTTTTCTTTTGATAAAATTTAAACTAGCCTTTGCTCTTTTTTTTTCACTATATTCTAGGAAGTACTTGATGCTAAAAATACATCGGTAAGTGTTCTAAGACTTGCTTCTATTATCAAAATATGTGAATTTTCACAAAATTTTTCAAACTAAATCTCATATTTATATATGTAACACAAAAGAGTGTAACAAGTTGAATATTTTATATGACAAAACTTAATAGTTTAATTGAGATTAATAAAGAATGAATGTTACTCTTTGAGAAGAATTCAATTAGAACATTTCATGTTCATATTAAAAGATCAAGTTTTATCATATACTTTTCTCACCGTGATACGATCTTTCAAGACTGAGCAAGTACAACAGTTTTGACTATTCACTCTAACTTCTTTATAAACATATAATGGTATATTTTTGAGAGAAGAGTGAACGAAGAAAAGATATGAAGTGCGTGTAGTAGTTTTATTCAGATACCAATGCTTAACTATATAATTCATAGAATAGATTAATAGTGTTATTTCAAAAACGTTTTGAGGGTTCTACTCGTAGAATAGTATCTTCTACGTTTACTATTAGCAAAAAATGTCACATTTTAAATGTATCTGAAAGCCTTTTTTTCTCTTTCTTATAGATTCGTGATTTACAATATGAATTGGCTCGTGTTTGTAAAGCTCATAATGATATATTAAGAACATATGAAGCTAAATTACGACAATTTGGTATTCCAATTGAAGAAATTGGTTTCAAACCATTAGAGAGTACAGTAGCTGGCCAACAATTAGGTCGAGGTGTTGCTGGTCTTGTGACAAGTCCACCATAATAAGACTGATTTTAGTGAAATATTGTAAATTTTATTTATACATACCACAAATCTTTCTTCTTGAGCTGCTGCTGCTTTTTTTTAATTTTTAATGCAAAAATCAAAATCAATATGAATTATATGTCTAATACAGTCCAAAGAAAGAAAAGCGATTTGATACATGCAAATTGATTACTTGTACGATACGATAGGAAAACATTTAAGAAGCAAATAGAATAAGATTAACAACTATGTAGTCCAGATTTTATACTTTGTTGATTAAAAAAATTAGAAACTGATCAAGACGTGCTTTCCATCAAGCCAAATTGTCTTTGATGTTATTCTTTGAATAATTCTTTCATCTTCTTTCATTTTTCTCTATTAAATATTTTTAAAATAATGTAATTTTCTATTAATATTAGGCTTGTTTTAACCCATACAAGGAATAGTATTAAGTATTGCCATTGAAACAAGTATAGGATATGCTAAAGTTATATCTGATTTCGGTCGAGAAAATGTTAAACCAAACAAAACCATGACTACTACTGTATCATGAGTGCCCGCTTGAATAAACAGGACAATAATTTTCTCTTATTTCGACTATCAATAAGTGGAATCATGGCACGACCAATAAAACCGAATCTTGATGAAAAACAAAATAACAAGTGATTACTACTTTAAAATTCATTGTATAAAATATATACATATATATTGATATAAACAATAAATTATAGAATATTCAACTCAATAAATTATTTTATTTACTAACAGATATTGATTTCAAAAATTAAATAAAACAATGAATTAAGACTGATTGATATCAATGAAGTAAAAGACTAGTTAATGCTGGAATAAGTTATTATTAATCAAACAAATATACTTTATCATGGAAATATAATAATTCTTTCTAAGATGTTATATTCAAAATAAAACTGTACTAAAAGACAATATCATTGGGAACAAAGTCATCGTTTCAAACAGATCAACATCAGCATCAAGTAATGCTGTAGAAGTATTCAATGAATGAACACGTGAAAATAGATTTTAATCATTGTATAGAAAATGAATATACATCTTGAGATAAAAATCAACTATCTAAGTCTAAGAAAATTGGTCGAAACAAAAACTTGTCGAGAAAGTTATAATAAAAGAATAAAAGCTTTTTTTAACAAAAGCTTTCAGCTGTATGAAAAGAATATCAGTTCATAAATTATCTGTAGCCCTTGTAATTTTTATGGTAGTATCATCTAAAAGTAGTTGTATGCCTCATCGCCGAAAGCGATATTGCCGAAAAATAACATCGCCGAAACTCGCGCCGAAACAAACATTATTGAAAAGAAAGATCGCCGAATTCATTTCGATCATCTACTAGCTTATTAGAGTCAGCACTGAATCAAGTTAGTGACTAATTTAACGTGGTTCCTAACTATAGCTAGTAGCTGACATGATCAACTTGGTTCCCAACTTGATCAAGTCAGTAACTACCTTGATCCCTAACTTGATTTCTAACTTATTGTGTCACTCACTTAAGTTAGAGTTGTTAACTGCTCGATTCGATCATTGGCATAAAATTGCCGATCGCCATATCGTCCACAGTGACACCGCCGAAAATACAGATACTCGATAGTCACATTGCCGAAATGGGACTTGGGCGAAATGCAGTTCGACGATGTGGCTTTCGGCGAAGAGCATACTGACTGAAAAATATACAATTATAAATAAAATAAAAATCTTTGTTTTGATTGTGAAAAGATTTCCGAATCTTTTCCTTTACTGGAAATAATCGAAAGCATTTTTATTAAGAGTTTATCTTATTTGTTTGATCATTCATTTGACAAATAAATCAACGATAAAGATTTATTTGATTTGTTAAATGATGAAGAAAGAAAAAGTCAATGAATAATGATGAAAAGTTTAACAGAATTTCAATGAGTAAAATGATGAAAAATGCTTATTAATCGATAAGAATCATTGTTCAGAATCTAATTGGCCGAATGATTGAAAAATGTCGAATAAAAACAATTTCATATCGTTTGTTTCAGATTTATTTCAATAACTTGAAAAGACACAGTGTAAATACTTGTATTAGTGCACGAACCATTGTTTTTTGTTATACTTAATATAATATATAAATTTATGAGTGATTAAACACATGTATGTATCTAACTTGTATACGCACGAGAAGTGTAAAACAGAACAAGGTTACGTTTTATGACGATCATGCCAACGAAACAAAATGGAGGGAATAGTTTTGTGCACGTTCTATATGTTGAAACAAACGAAAGAATGTCATGGTACCAACTTCCAAAACCAGAAAATAAAACTGATCTAATCTTAGTATGATATCAGCTTTTTACATTTTCTATTTCACTACGTTATATATATTAAAAAAAAACTTTATTATTATTAGACTTGTTTGACAATTACAGATAGTTGCTAGACCCATGTGACTATTGTTTTCATTTTTACTATATCTTTTCAAAATATTTTCAGACTGTTGAAAAAATTATATATATGAACAATAATTAACGAGCAGATATAATTGATAGAAGCAAACGAATTTCCATTGATCATTTCACTATTTCTTAGAGAAGAGTTAGTTCTTGATTCAATGGAATACATACTAATTATCAACAATGCATATGAATAAATTCTATTTTCTCATTTTTCAGAAAAAACTTTTACTCAACGCCGATAGCATTGTAATAAATAGTTTTCAGAAGTTCTTTTCAGCAAGTTACTATCTTTTTCTGGTGAACGTAGATTTACTCTCAGTCATACAAGATCTTTCACGTCAACACTTAGACGTGTTGCAGAGCTTGATATGTCTGTCATGACCTGACATCTTTAGAAATTATATTTCGTTTATCTATTTCACATCTAAGATTAAATACCTTTAGAACCTGGCTATTGAATCGACTATACGATA